TGAGCCGAATTATGACTCTCTGCACCTATTTTCAGTTTCAAATTACGACTTTTTATACCGAAAATATGCCAATTATTGAAAATGTCAATGAGTCATATTTAACCCAAACCCCCCTGCAGTTTTTAAAATATCTGGGTTTGTCGGAAATTTGACTCCAGAGCGCCATTTTTGGCCTGAATTCTGACTCTCTGCACCTATTTTCAGTTTCAAATTAAAAATTTTTATTCCGAAAATATCCCAATTACTGAAAACGGCGATGGGTCATATTTTACCCAAACCCCCCTGCAGTTTTCAAAATATCTGAAATGTCCGAAATTTGACTCCTAGGGGGGATTTTTGAGCCGAATTCTGGCTCACTGCAAATATTTGGAGTTGCAAATTATGACTTTTTATACCGAAAAGATGGCAATTAGTGAAAACGGCGATGGGTCAAATTTTACCCAAACCCCCCCTGCAGTTTTTAAAATATCTGAAATACCGGAAAGTTGACTCATGAGCGTTATTTAGGATCTGAATTCTGGCTCTCTGCAATTATTTGGAGTTGGAAATTACGACTTTTGAGACCGAAAATATGGCAATTAGTAAACGGCGTTGTGTGAAATTTTACTCAAACCTCCATGCAGTTTTCAAAATATTGGAAATATCGGAAATCACAGAGTTATGACATTTTCAATAATAAGAAAATTATTGACTAGAAAATCCACTACGGGCTCACTACAACAGTAGCTGAATGTAAAACAACATATTGACTAGATATTTATTATGAGCTCACCATAGCCCGTGCTACTTGGAACTTATGATCCAAGTAGCTGAATCTAAAAACATATATAACTATAATTATAGAAATATGTGTATGAACAAATCCAGAAGGGCCGTGACGAGGATTCGAACCTGCGTCCGGGAGCATCCCAGACGCTGCCTTAATCGACTGAGCTACGACAGGGTAAAAAGTTAAAACCGAAGTTCTACTGAACTTACTGCATCCCGTAGCCTCTCGGGATTTTACACAACTTCCCTCTGCATCCGAGCTATGTCAATAGGCCGTTCTCCCTCTTCGCCCTTACAAAAATATGTGTATATTACGGTTGGTTGTGATTTTGTTCCAATGTTCCCGTGGAGGTAGTATGCACTGAACCTAATCGCAGCACGATATCACTGAATGGAGTGCCACAGTTAAGATTTATCGGCACATGTGGCAATATATGTGATAGGTAAAAAGGTTGTTATGCTAGCGGCCATATAATACGGCGGAAGCCAGACTTGGACCGGATTTGTGAGAGTAAAGTAACCCGAGGAGACCTCATGGTACACAGAGTGCGCTGGACCGTGACAATGGTGGGGGTATACTCCCCGTCTGGGTGCCGTATTCACTGTATCTGAGTAGAATGAAACCTGCAACAGGCTACGGTATATACCTTGCAACTAGTAGGAGTTGCAACCCTGTAGATGGGTTATGTATCCCCTGCGGCTGACTGATAAAGGAAAGGACTGTACGTAACCTACCGAAAGGACTGTACGAAACATAATGTAAAGACAGAACTTGTCTTTACATTATGAATATGATGCTTGAAACGCTGTTAAAACACAAGGGAATGATGTGCCAATGAGACAAACCCAATTAGTATGCTGTAAATCGTTACTTTTTATGGTCCTCTTTTACAATTAACAATTTGTCTGCTGAACGGGTTTTTTCGAAGATTACAAAGCCGAGGCAGATACAAGCTGTGTGTGTGTGTGTGTGTGCTATTTAATACATTGTCTACATAGTCTCCACGGCTTGGTGTCATAGGCTTTTGATTTAACAGATGTTTCACGGCGTTTAAATATATATCTATATGGCTAATAACAATTTATGTGTTTGGGACTAGATAGTATATATTTCACTAAGACATTTATCATTATATTGAAGACGATGACTCCACCTTGAGGAATGCTATAGTTGCATCAATTTGGTTTCATTGCATATCCTTGAACCAGCTCGGATCGTGGACCTTCGGTTGGTAAGTGTGTCTATTGCAACAGTTGTCCACTTATGTCCATCAAATTTATGCGTGCAATTTCCTACTGGCCATATCAGAGATATTTTTCAAGTCACGAAATAATGTGAAGGTATATGTACCTTCTATCAACATGACCAGTGAGAAATATAGAAGTGTTAACTTTATCATGTGTGAAAGGTGACGAATGTTCTTTAATTCTAAGCAAAAACTCTATTGAGCACCAATCTCTCCTATGTGTGTATCTGGATACCATGATATTGAGACCTATCAAGGAACCCAACCCAAACATCTGAAAATTAAGGAAGTGGCGTAGTTTCATTTTCAGATGAGTGGGTTGGGTGTTGAATTTTGTCACGATATTTTGGCCTACTTTCTGGAAACCTCTCAAGTTTTGAGAGAAGGGAAACTCATTAAGTCGTGAATTTTCATACACACACAATGCTTTTTTGTATTAACATATTCAAGTACAGTACATCTACATTTATGCTGCTATCGAAAACTATGTATGAAGGGAAAGGAAGAAGACCCATCTCACAAGATGGTTAGTCATACGTGAGCAGTAGTCTGCACTGGCAAACTTTGGAAGCACTGTGAGGATATCAAGAACACGAGAGTGAATAAGGTAACGACGATATTGAACGTCCCCATCTCGCAGGATGGTTAGTCATACAGGTAGCCTGTACTGCCAAATTATGGGTGCATTATGAGGCTACACACAAGACAAGTGTATACATTGATCTGAGATATGTTTCTTTCGCTTTCATAACTGGCAATTTCAACATTGGCCAGCTGATATCAGTCACTCTAATATCATTTCCTAGGCATAGAACCATACCATTTGTGAGAATTGAGTCCTATCTGCCAATCTTTTTTCCAATTTAAAAGCCAATTTTGTAGCATTTTAGATCCTTTCCAATTTATTTCTCATCTATTTTATATCATCGGCAAATTTTGCGAATGTTGCTCTTCATCTCCTAAATAGCTGACATATTTGGTAAACAACATAGATAAGAAAATTCAATTTGCATTCCCTAGATAGCCATAGAGTACGTAGAGATGTGATTACCGTATAGGCCGGCATACAAATTTGATGGGAGGATTTAACAAGTGGGGATTGTAAAAGGTCGGTTCTGAAGGACAAACTGAAGTTAAAATTCGAGACAAAGAGTTTAAATAGGGGAAGTTTTGGTTTAGAAGAGAAATATGCAATTATCTGTTTGGACGCAGATTCATATCAGTAAAACAAGTTATCAAATATAGAATCATAGAAGCAAATGCATTGGAAAGTTTCGTGCATAGGCTAAATAAGTGCATGAGTGGGAGTGGATGGGTATAAATAGAACTGCATCACATGGGCCAATATAGGCCTTCTGCAGATTCTAATAGTTTTATGTATATTCATATAGTTTTCTCATCTTCCCTATCATCAATGGAGTCCAAGAAATGTGTAAGTACTTCATTCATAACGATGTACTGCCAGGAATCCTAGCGAGGTATCCAAAATTTGCTTACTGTAAGTATTGCACGCATGACTTTAGAGCTGTTGTTGTTTTAGATTCAGCTACTCGGAACAAAAAGTTGTAAGTAGCACAGGCTATGGTGAGCCCTTAGTGGACTTACCTGGCGCAGGAACGGGGCTGTAACTTACTGTAAAGTTGCCGTCTAGTTGGGTGGGTGCGGAGCAAGACTAGTAGCTGTGTGACTCACCATAGAAGTGTCTTGTGTAGTGACTGTCGTGGACCTCTTGTTCAATCACTGGTGATATAGAAAGATTATCGATATGTATATGTATTTGTGTAAATGATTGTATATATATATGTACATGTATATATAATATTAACAATTGTGTAAGCAGCTTCAAAAGTTTGTCACTTGCTTAGCTAAATCAACTATGGGGTTTAGTTCCTGAACCCATTATGTACTGTAACTCTTTCCACAGGGGTGGGAATGGGGTGCATAATAAAGAAAGAAATTGATTTGCCTTCCCTACAGCTCATGCTAGCGTAACCTGTTACTGAGTATATATGATATTAATAGATTATAAACAAATCTAGCTTCATTCAAGGGCTGTAACGCGCATGAAATAACATATCAACACAAAATATACGGTAAGACACTGTCATATATATCAAGACAATATATGATAGTTGGCAAATGTAACACTCTAGGTTTGTGTATTCTTTTCTATCGGTAAATTTTATTGTTTTTCGTTCACAATTGACTAACAAACTTACCATGTAGATAAGTGTTACACAATTTTAGGTTATAATTAACTGCACAAATGATCCACGTTATTTTTGCAGAAAATACTGTATATATTTAGATTTACTTAACAGGAGTTATAGTTGCAATTAGTTAGTGGTATGAAAACCTTTGAATTTATAAATAACAATTAGAAAAAGAAATAATTTAGTGTGTAAATGAATTGCACAACTTTGGCCAATACGTTATTTTATAGTTAATAGCCATCCGCGACAGAGAACAAAGCAATGAACAATTTCTTTCCCTCAAACACACATTATCAAGACGCCAATCACATATTTATATGGACCTACGCAGTATAAGTTACCTATTGAAAATAAATAAGAGTATACGAACCATTGGCTTATAAGTTCGGCCATTTGACGTATAGTTCACCGGTGACGTCACAACCCATGTAAACAAGATCAAATAATAGGTAAAAAAAACTTGGTCTTGAGGCGTAAACATATAGAAATTTATAATGATAAACAAGATGCGATAACTGAACTGTGCGCTCTGTGCCGTACAATTGATATAACGTTAGTGTGAGTGACTTTGAAGTAGCAGAAGTGTCGTGCGAATAATTATTAATGTTTGTGATTGATGAACTATTATAGACATAAATTTCAATGACAATGAATTCTTTGCCACTTTGTCAAGACTAGAATCATGACAACAATCGGTATTAAAAGTTTTTTGAAAATAGGTATCAAGCTCCCTGTAAGGGGCTCGAGACCCTATGGGACGGCCATCGAGTCCCTAAGAGGCGAGGAGATGCGCGCTTGTTGAGTGGGTGTGCGCCATCTATTGGCCGGCGGCGGCCGCCTCTCGTGGTGTTCATAGTCTGTGATTCTGCACTAGTGAATGGAGATACCGACACCCAAAATTCACTTTCGTAAATTGCTCAGTTAAATACGTGAGTAAGGGCGCTGGGATTCCATCGCTACCTAAGTTATCGAAGGTCGGTGGAACTGGGGTTTCGTGGGCCCGGGGCGTCCAGACAGGTGGTTAACGCGCTAAAACCAATCGCATATCCAGTCGCCATTTTGGTAATTTGGGACCCCTCCTTCTGTCAGCTGTACTGTCTGTTAAATTGCGTCTATTGCATCACTGATTACTTCCAAGTGTTGTACCTTGGCCACAAATGTTCATTATGTATTTGTCTCGGTCTTCATCGCGCTTGTGAGTGTCAACAAGTCGATAGGAACGTGGGATGAGGGATTGTTTTCAAGTTACTCTTTGTAGAAGCTGGTGAAGATGGGTTAAGATATTTTCATTATTTATACATTGCACGGGATGTTGTGTAATATTGTGAGGCTGACCAGTCGCTCGTTCACCACACCTGTTGTAAAGTAGGCCGCGGGGGAGGTCGCATAACTCGAGGCATAGGGAAGAACTTTAATAGGAAGAACATTTGTGCGGCTCCCAGAGGCAGAACAAACAAGGTTGTGTGTGTGTGTTCATCACAGCCGGACGGTAATACTGACCTCCTCGTTCACTCTGACACACTGTGTTGCTCTGTTTACCCTGGAACACAAACCATAACAAACCTTGCAAGGTGCTTCTGTTTGGCTATGTATTTTGGGTTGAACCTTTGGCTGCTGTCATTCACAGTCAGGCGTGTCTATCTGGTGCTGTTTTGAGTATAGCAAAAAGATTGACAATTCTTGTAGTAGTTTTGCTTTAATAATGTTTTCAATGGATAGGGGACTACGGGTCAGGTGATGGGAGGGGACTTTATGTACAGATTTTTAAACATCACATGCCATCATATACCACAGGATGTGTTAAGTACATTATATATTATTATATATTGTGTTGGAGAGTTGCAAAATACACTATATAGTTTTTAAAAGGAGAATTAATGTAGAATAAAGGGTGTCAAACACCTGATTACAAAATCACCACATGGGGAGGCCAATTTTATTTTTCGTGTAGGAATTTGACATTTCCTGTGCTAATTTTTACTATAGATTCATTTAGATGAACCTTTTTAATGTGTGAATAAGACTAGTCATAATTAAACTTTCATATGAAACAACATATAATAATGTTACTCAGATTAAAGAAACTAGTAATGTCTTGACACTTGGATATGTCAACCTGTCCCGAGGCTAGGCTCGTCCAACCAGCGGTCGTCCCCAAAGACACATTCATCAATTTTAACATGCTTTGTATTCAAAAATTGTATTCAAAATAAAAATAAGATATTTGAGATTTTCATCTTGATTATCTTAACATAATAGAATATATTGAATAGTGAGGCCCTAACTTAGGTGGTTAGGTTGTGTTGGCAATTATTGGTATTTGCAGTATGTGGACAAATCATTTAGAGGTCTGATTTGAGGAGAGGAAATGAACAAAACACTTTTGAGGAAAGTACATGCATCATCATTTGTGTGTAAAATGTTTCATTCATAAATGGGGAAGGGGTTTGGTGGTGGTTTAACAAGCATTTGGTCTTTGTTACATACAGGTTGGAAAATAGGGGTTTTTATTCACACAGTAACTACATTCGAGCATAACTTGCACAACCCATTTATAGAGAGAAAGCTAATACTGTACTGTACTGAGGTACGTTTACAAAGAACTAATCAGTATACCAAGCTGCATGCTAAAAAATGAATATTTTTGGTGAGCATACATTATATAAGGCGAGAGAGACAAGATGAAAAAAAATTTCTGTATCTAAACATCCCCAAAGTGGATGAAGTACAGTATTTGCCTTTAGACTGATCACCTTGGTTCCTGTATAATTAACCATATGTATATATTACAACTTCGTGTTGTAAATTTTTTTTCCAATGCCTATTAATCAAGCCACTAAAACCCCTGTTTATGAATGAAGGTGCTTTTTACGTGATTAGTGTCATGAAAACCTTTCTTCATTATTGCTTGGCTCAGTTCGAATTGCTCCTCTATAATGGTTCACAAATTAGGGGGCCTCGTAGCCTGGTGGATAGCGCGCAGGACTCGTAATTCTGTGGCGTGGGTTCGATTCCCGCACGAGGCAGAAACAAATGGGCAAAACTTTCTTTCACCCTAAGTGCCCCTGTTACCTAGCAGTAAATAGGTACCTGGGAATTAGTCAGCTGTCACGGGCTGCTTCCTGGGGTGTGTGTGTGTGTGGTGTGAAAAAAAAAAAAATAGTAAACAGTTGATTGACAGTTGAGAGGCGGGCCGAAAGAGCAAAGCTTAACCCCCGCAAAAAACACAACTAGTAAACACAACTAGTAAACACAAATGTACTACAAATAAAAATAATTGCCCACTGAAGTGAAACTTATTTTAATCTTTGCTTAAATATACAAAAATTATAATGCATATATTAATTTTGACTTTAAAAAAGAATTTAAATACACAGTATGTAAAAATTTACAAATGCATCTTTGGGGTCAGCTGCTGCTCGGAGGAGCAGATCCTGAGGATGAGTATAGCCTGAGGATAGGTTGAAGGATTAAAGTACTGTACCAATAGATCTCTATTGTATTTAAAATTTAAGTACAGTACTGTATTTAAAAGTTGATGCCTGGTACAGGAAGCTGCTGCATTTCCAACTCGTTCCTTCCAGCCGTAACATTTATCTGCTTAGAGTAGGAGCAAGTTGGGAATGGATCGAGTTGATGAGGCTTGATATATTGTGCCATAATAGTACAGTATTTTGAAAGTCGGTGGTGTGACCCATTACAGGGTTGTATAAATTATTAATTTGGTTACTGCTGATCTAGAAATTTTGTTTATTTGCAAATATATAGAGAATTTCATTTAAGATTTATACAGTGTTGTAATGCTGTCAACATAGTACAACATAGTATGTTGGTTTTCTTTTATTGTGTTTTTATTTTAAACCTGGTTAGATTAATAATTATAATTTTTTGTGTGGCTCATTTTGAGCACTACAGTCATCTACTGATAGCAGAGGTAACCCGTTATAACCTTGAGTACATTATTGTAAGCTGCAGAATGAGACCATGAGATCAGACTGTTAGGACAGGGAGGAATATTATTGCAGAATGGCAAAGAAGTGTGTGAAGAGAACGACAAGAGGTTTCAGGTCTAAAAACTGAGAGCAGATGGCCTGAAATAACACCAGAAGAATTTAATTTAATGAAGTGGTAGGAGGACATCCTGGTGGAACTGGATGCAACAATAGCCATAGGACCAGACCAGATAATGGTTACTGAAGGAAGTTGTAGGGATTTTGTTACCCATTAATTATAGTACAGTAGTTATATTACTCTAAAGATGGGAGAGCTACTGAAAATCTCCAAAAAGGCAAATGTAGTTCCAATATTATAAAAAGGGTAAACAGACAAAAAGAAAATGCAGAATAGAACAGAGATGCCATAGGCACAATCAGAGAACACTATAAATATCAGAGGTCCACGGTTGTTCAACATCTCGGCGAGCATAAGAAATATTGCGGGAACAACCGTGGATATCATCAGGAGAAAATTAGATTGTTTTCTTCAAGAAGTGCCAGACCAACCGGGCTGTGGTGGGTATGTGGGCCTGCGGACTGCTCCAAGCAAAAGCCTGGTGGACTGTGACTCTTGCAAGTCAAGCCTGGCCTCAGGCTGGGCTTGGGGAGTAAAACTACAGTACTGTACTCCCAGAATCCCATCAAGCAGGTATCAGACATGGTCACATGAAGCGTCAAACTATAAACCTGTGCCATTAACATGCATTCCAAGGAAAATGCTGGAAAAAGTCAGATAAAGAACTGAACATTTGGGGAGTAAATTTTGACAGGCACAACATTAACAAACTTGATTGAATTGTATGACAGGGTCACCAAAATAAGACAAGAGAAGGAAAGATAGGTAGACTGCATTGTCTTTGACTGCCAGAAAACTTTTGATAGCTCACAAAAGATGAGTACTCAAGATGGAAAGACATGTGGGGGATAACAGGAATGACATTGGTCTGGTACAAGAGTACGTGATGGACAGGAATCGATTATAGTCAGGAGTGAAAAGTGGTGTTCCATAGGGCCCTGTCCTAGGACCATTGCTGTTTCTAATTTATGTAAATGACCTCTCCAGAGGGAAGGAGCTCTTGCATGTCGATGTTTGCAGATGATGCAAAGTTAATGAGGAGAGTAAGAATGGAAGAAGACCTTGACAAACTAAAGAAGTGGGTAGATAAATGGCTGCTGGAATTCATTCCAAGTACAGTATAAAGTAATGCATATGGGCAAGGAAGATAGCAGACCTGTATTTAACCTCACCATAAAGGGACGACAGTTTCAAGAAACGATAACGGAAAGATCTGAGAGTTGCGTGATCCCAACGTTAACACCAGGCACTCATGTGATCAGGGTAACATCCAGCATATAGTAAGCAAGCAAACCTAAGAACATCATTTAAGAATCTAAACAAAGAGGCTTTCAAGCCCATATTTGCTGTTCATGCAAGATTATTACTTGTGGATACAGTACCAACATGGAACCCACACCTTGTGAAGCACATAAAGATCTTAAAGTTGAGAGATGTACAACTAGATTAATACTGTACCAGAATTGAGACGGCTCAGCTGTGAGGAAAGATTCGAGGAACTGGCTCTCGTAGCATTAGAGGAGATAAGAAAGGGGGAATATGATAACTATGTACATGAAAGATCCTGAGGGTAATAGATGAATGGACATAAGAAGCCTATTTAAATTAAAAGAAGGTAGGATGGTGACATCTGTGTTTGCTGGACTTGCAATTGAATCGGGTACTAGTACTGTAGATGAAAGGAAGTTCTCATTCCCTGTATAAGTAGGTAGTGAGTGGAATACATTGAAGGAATAAGTTGTTGAAAACCAATTCCATCTACAATTTTAAGAAAAAATATGATGAAAACATTGATGTTAACTCTTGACAGCGGCTATGGATTGTGAAGAATATAGGTCATACCCGCCTATGGAGAAAATATATAAAATTAAAAAAAAATGATTTTTCATTATAGAATTTTTAATTTGCGTGCAGAATGAAAGAAAAATACAAAGTGAATATTTATCGTTTCACTGGGTGGAGGTACAGTACTCTGTAAGTCTGCGTGTGGCACTTGACGCCTGATGCTCAATTTTACTGACATTACCTGATTTATTCTGATGTCTTACTGATTTTCTTATCACTTGTTTTTCTTTATTTACATCCTCAGAGCTTTTATATCCATATTTGTATCACATGTAAAACCCAGACAATAATTGTTTAAATCATATGATGACCGCATTTCCCTAGTAACATTCATGATGAAAACTGCATTTGTAGTGTATTGGTATAAATGGGGTTTGGCAGGTGCATGGAATGGACTTTGGCCTGTGTTTATGAAGATGCGCTGCAGTAGTCAGTCGGGTTTGTTCTTGTTTCGCAGTTGAAAATTCTGAATACGAATCCCGAATGGAACAGAAATTGTTGGCGCATGGCCTATCACCTAATGTCCTGTTCACCTAGCAGTAAGTAGGTACTCAGGAGTTAGTCAGCTTGTTGTGGGGGTTTCATCCTGGTCAGGTTCAGTAATTCGCCCTTTGGGTGGGGGGGGGGAGGGACCTCGGGTATAAGCCTAATGTGCATGAATACACTCTGCCTGCCTGTCCCTCGACACAATGAATTACTGTATAATTAATTATGCGGAAATAAAGTAATTCTCATACTTATATCCATGGTCATTGCAATTAATTCTTGGAATCATGTGTGCATTTGTGGACTTTTAAAGAATAATATTTTGAAGCATCGGTTGTATTGTAATAATTGATGTCTAGTTCACACGTGTCTGTCTTAGACTAAACAAAAGTATTTAAGCGCACCCTTGGAAATATACCTTCTCGAGAGCAAAACTGTCTTGCACTTCCTTGGGTTCTCGTGTGGGGAAAGGTTTTGAATATGGGGGCAGGGGGAGGTTTTGATTACAAGGATGAAATAATTTGACTGCAGGGACTGGAGGGGGTGGAGGCTTTTCTCTAGGGACCAAGGGGGGGGGGGGGTTTCTCTAGGGACCAAGGAGGGGGGGGGTGGCTTTTCTCTAGGGACCAAGGAGGGGTGGAGGCTTTTCTCTAGGGACCAAGGAGGTGGGGAGGCTTTTCTCTAGGGACCAAGGAGGGGGGGGAGGCATTAGCTCCAGGGGACCGGGGGAGGCTTTGACTGGGGACTGAAGGGAGGGGGGTGGGGATGCTCTGACTCCAGGAACGGATGGATGATTTCACTGAAAATTGTGTACTGTATTTAGTTCTTAAGCACATTATCATCTTCCTGTTATTTTCACTGCATCTTTACTTTTGTTCCATTTTTTGGTCTTCATAATTTTTTTTGTCATAAATAGGCATGCATTCATAATATATTTTTCTTCTTAACAGCCCAAAGTGGATGTATGGTTAGGGCTGTGGCATCTGGTCGTGCCACTGGGTGAGGGAAAGGCCCGCACCGGTGCCACACGACAGCGCTATGACCATCGCTATGATAGCCAATCAGGACCCACAGGAGGGGCCACCTAACACCCCACCACAGGTGATGTTGGAAAGCCATTTAAATTGGTTATTCTGCCAGGTGTATCATGTCCAGCACATTGTTGTCTTTTATACTCAGCTGTTTCAATGCAATTGACTTCATAAAAAAGCTTCATAAACTTCATTTTTTGATTGTATACATTTGCACCTGCATATCGTATTATGTATTGCCTTCAGTACAGTATTTGTTTTGGGTAGAGAGCTGTGTTCATGGTATCCTGTTTTCCTTGTTTAATTTATCATGAATAATTAATGAATCTACCAGCAAGAATTCAATAAGCATGATTAAAATCATGATGTTTTGATTACTTCAGTTATTTTGAGTTTCATATTTTTTCTGCAGCCTATTGGTGATTGTCTAATTATTGAATAATTATGAATAAGTATAATTACTAGTTTTCAGAATTTCATACTTCAAAACTTCCGGTATTTTGCATTTACATTCATAGAATGCTATTTGCTCGATAAATTTAAGTGGAAAAATGTGTAATTTTCAGTTAACTAATGATATTTTTGTTTTCTCTCAGGGTGGGGATGGAGAAGTGTTGGGTGAAGGGGAGGGGGAGGATTTGGGTGGTGGGGAACCGGACTTTCCCCTGGCTGACTTGGCCCGACTAGACGAGATGATCCACCGTCAAAGATGGGTGGTTCCAGTCTTGCCCAAGTGCGAACTGGAACTGTTGCTCGAAGCCTCCATCGATCTATGTACACGGGGTTAGTATAAAGTGATTTACGTCCTGTTGAATTTGCATGATAGTTTTTCAACAGGCAATAGAAAATAACCATAGGAGTAAGTAAATATTCCAGAACAAGATGGGAAGGCCATGGTTAAATTGAGTACTTTACCATTTAAAATGTGGCTATAAAATTGTAGTGCTATTGGTTTTAGTCAAGAATAAGACACTCAAAATACTATTCTAATTTGTCTCTGGTTAAAAGTAAGTTAAAATCTCTCATTTTTGCCTATTTTACCAATAGAAAATTTAGACCATGCAAATTAATTATGACCTGTCTATTTGTCCATGTTATCTGGAAGGCAAGATTTGCTAATGTTCTCTGTGTACGTTTGATTACAGGTGTAGATACAAGGAGTGAAGCATGTCAGAGATTCTTCAGGGAAGGGTTGACAATTTCTTTTACTAAAATTCTCACTGATGAGGCTGTGAACAGCTGGAAGTTTGAAATTCATGTAAGTATATTGATTTATCATAATTATTTTTACGTTTAACGTTATTGTACAGAAACGAGTTTGAGTGCTTTTGTTTCTTATTCCAATGTTGGTCTTCATAAAGTGGAATACCAGATGATTTATTTAATTACTGCTAGAATGTACAATACAGTACTTGTTTTAAACATTTGAGTGAGTCAATATTTGGTAGTACTGTATATCAATTGGAATAATGTGAGGTGCTCAGGTTGAATAATTCAACCTGAGCACTCCCATGCCATGCCCCTTATCTCTGGACCACAACATGGTAAGGTGCGTGGCTTGGGAGTACCAAAGTCGAGGGTTCAAATCCCCTGCATTGCTCCAATTGATTTTCTTGCCGATATATATTATGTTGTTGATATCCTTGTGCAATATTTGCTAGTGTTAAAGTTTTATTTAGGGTTTATTGGCCCATAATTTAAGAAAATAGTCATGTGGATTTTAAATTTGCAGAGATGCATCCTAAAGAACTGTGAGAAGTTAATAGAATTAGTTGTAGTGAAACTGCACCAGGACTGGTTTCCTTTACTTGACCTTCTTGCCATGGTGCTCAGCCCTAATTCCAAGTAAGTAAGGGTATTCTTTGTAGGTTTGTAAGATATATGGTATGTATACAGGCTTCTGTATATGCTCTTTATGTATACAATACATACTGAATATGCAAAAAACCACAAGAAGAATAATTAATAATATAATTGTCATATCCCCACGGACACATTTTTATGTAATAAATGTTGTTTGCGTGTCGTGTTTTGTTTTTTGCATGTACAGACATATATGCTATATGCAGTAACATATATGAAATATACAGGATATTCCTGTGCAGTATATGTAAATATAATTATAACTGATCATATAGTTGGGATTATGTAATTTGAATTGAGAATTTTCTAGCAAAGCGTATAAGGTTTACAAAAAAAAACGGTGATTAAACTAATATAGAATATAGTGTTATAATGAGCTATTCAGTGGTGGTATTCCTGTATGAGTTCAATGATTATAAATGGTTTTGTTGTCTTTTAATGTTTGTTAAATAAACCTAACCCATTGGTTGTATTTAGCAATTACACTTGCCTGATAAATGAGTGAGCATTCACTGCTGAAAGCAATTTTACCACATGCCTTTATAAATTAGTTTCTGCTAACCGTAACATTTATCCAGACATCTAGTCTTCAGGACACGTTTTGGACCAGTAGTTGCAACCGTTTTGTCGCTACAGAAGAACACATCTTTGCATGTGGTATAGCTAAATACTCAGATATACAGTACCTTGTTCCTCTTTAGGATTCTGGAACCATTCGAAGTTCAATGATTGTCTATGTGAAAAGTGCAATAATTTTTCTTGAAACAAGAGTTAAAATAAGAAGATAATAGATTGCAGGGAAATTATGGCTACAATTATGTTTCCCAACTAATACATAAAATTCCTTGAAGAGTAAGCAGTGGGAATATTTATGGTCTAGTATTTAGCTACTTGGAATATATTTTTTATTAGAAAAAGTTGATAAGTTATTTTCTAATTAAGATTGTTTTATTATTCCACTTCAAAGCACATGTAATTATTTCTGTAAATGAAAACAAATTGCAAGACTATAGATATGTATATTTGTATGTACAGTACTGTGTGTGTATTTTTGTTTAGCTCCATTTATATTTAGAAATAGGACAGCAGGAGTGGTGCAGCCAAAGGGTTAATAAAAATCTAATTTGCAGTGCATTAGATATACTCAACTTGGACAGCAATGATCTTGCGTCATGCAGGTTGGCGTTCAATCCTCCTTTGGTCCAAGTGGTTGAGCACCGCTCCTTTGTCCTCCTATCCTGTCCTCAAATCTCTTCCTTGGGCAGGCGATGAGTTACAATAACATGGCTGAAGTATGTTGACCAGACCACACACTAGAAAGTGAAGGGACGATGACGATTCGGTCCGTCCTGGACCATTCTCAAGTTGATTGTGAGATCGACTGGAGAATGGTCCAGGACGGACCGAAACGTCGTCGTCCCTTCACTTTCTAGTGTGTGGTCTGATCGACACTCTTTCTTGATTTAGTGCTCTCCTCATAATTACCTTCAATAATTATTGGCACTAATAATTAGTGCCAATCTGATTTGGTGCTCTTTTCATAATTACCTTTGATAATTATAATATGTTTTTCTTGCTTTAGGTTTCATACGTTTAATGGAACACGCCCTTCAGAAACAGTACCACAGGGGTCACAGATCCCAGACTATGAACTGTTTGCCCGACCACCTGATCCCAGAAATCCCAGAGGTTGGCTGGTCGACCTTATCAACCTTTTTGGCAAGCTTGGTGGCTTTCAGATCCTCCTAGAAAGATTTCAGTCGGGCAAGAATCTTTCTGTTCCTGTAATATGTGCACTCTTACGACCATTTGGCCTCTGCTTTGAGATGCTCACAGTACCTACTATAGAGAAATACTTCATGCCTATTGTAGTAAGTATAAGAGTGTTCATGTAATTTGAGTAATAAAATGAAGATATTTTGTTGCTTTGTATACAAATTCACGTAGAGTTGACTCGATTTTTTTGCAGTATTTTATTAAGTTTGTCATTCGTTCAATGTTTAACTCAACAGGAGGTAGTTCCAGCCTTTCTAGAGAATCTTACTGATGAAGAGTTGAAGAAAGAGGCCAAGAATGAAGCCAAAAATGACGCGCTTTCTGCCATCATCAAAGCCATAAAGTGCCTGGTATCCCGAGTGCCCAGTCAAGAAGAGACTGCCAAAAATCTTGAGATTTTTAGACTAAAAATGATACTCAGGCAAGTAGATAAATACTCGTCAAGCAGGTATCATGCAGTACGTTATTTTACCAGGTATAGATTAAAGTACTGTATTGTATAGCTTTAAAAACAAAGGGGTGCATAACAAATAGATGATTTTTAGTTCGTGCATTGGTGTTAAATTCGTATATGTTGAAGAGAGCACACAATGCTGAGTGATGTCAAGAAGCACCAAGATGAGAGTAGACCTTAGACTGTACACATATATTGTAAAGAATATTTTGCCTGTAAGGAATCTTGCATGTGAAATATTGTATACAAATAGTCTACTCTAAACTATGGGGGTTTTCTACATGATTAATTTCAAATAAAAAATTTGTTTGCCCATGTTACATCTAAAACATAATTGTGCCAAGAAACTTGGTAATATATTTGTCTTTAATAAGGTTTTTAAATTATCTTTTTAATTAGTTCTACTTTAGCATCAATTAGATGCTTTCATTTCATGTAGAGTGCACGAACTCTTAAGAAAGGGGATGGGGGAATTTGTAAGGTGGTAGTTGTGTACAGGAGAACAGCTGGGTGAAGGAGGCCAGGTATGAAAAGTGACCTTAGCTGAATTTAAAATAAGATGAGAAAAAAAGGGAATTAAGAGAGGGGAGGTTGAAAGATGAAAATAAAGTTAGCTGTATGTACAGCGTGCATAATATGCAAAGATGGTTTCCTCATGAGAATGGAATGCTGTAAACTGATTTGTAAATATAAATAAATGTTCTTAAAGAGTTGTTTGCATTTCAGGTTATTGCAAATTTCATCCTTCAATGGGAAGATGAATGCCTTGAATGAGGTAAATAAGGTGATCACAAACGTGTCCTATTACTCACATCGTCATGGACCTGTTGAAGAGGAAGAATGGTTAACTGCAGAACGCATGGCGGTAAGAATTTTTCTCGTCCTTTGCTGTATCTTGTTAGTGCTAAGTGCTTTCTCTCAATTCTGTGAATGGCTGAATAGAACATGTGCACGTGCCATGCTATGCTTTGCCCTTCGTGAGTACTCAAATTATCTTTCAGTTCACTGAAATATAATTTGCTTTCACTTTCAGCTATTTGCTGTGTCAGTGTTCGCTTATTTTTTTACTCTAGACATAAGAAATGGGAGATAAGTAGTAAATTAAATGTTATATTCAAGGGCTTTCTTTTTACTCTTTTTAAGGAAATGCACACTTGTGCTTATCTAATTGTCCTTGAGCAATTCCCGTGGCGCAGTGGTAAGACACTCGCCTTGCGCTTCATGAGCACTTTGGCCTGGGTTCATATCCTGTCCGGGGAAGATTAACTGGGTACCAATCTTTAACTGTAGTCTGTTCACCCAGCAGTGAATGGATACCTGGTTGTTAAACGATTTGGCAGGTCATATTCCGGGGAAATTAGGATTAAGGACCTGCATGAAACGCTATGCATGCAACCCGTCCTCTTAAAAATGATGTCGCTTTTCGCTTGTATGTGCTACGGCTGAAAAAAGCTGTAATTTGAAAATGAAAAATAATTGAACAAAAGAATTTGGATTTTTTTTTTTTCAACATAGCAAGTTAAGGATCCCCTGGTAGATTAGGAGGGCAGGAAGTTCTAAGGTTTCAAAACGTCGTGAAAACAGTTAATTGAAAGTGTCCTCTCCTAACCTAACAAAATAAGCCAGAGGAGCCAAAACAGAAAACAGGACAGTACGTCATTTTCGTTACCCGATTCCATTTTAAATTACGTCCTTTTTTTATCCCGAGTGCGCATACGAGCGAAAAGCGACATAATTTGTAAGAGGACGGGTTGATGCATGCCAGTGGCTTTACAAGAATGTAAAACCTCTTTGTATGCCTTTATTGCTATTGTACTTGGTAAATTCATACCTTGTGACTTTTCACTTCTCTGCAATAATTAGTTTTGAGGCTATGAATAGTGGCTAATTCCACTGCCTCTGTTTCATGTTATATTGCTCTTCTTTATGACTTTCACTGCTCTTGAGTATTTCTTTGATTCCTCTGGCTTATTTCTCCAGCTTCCACTTGAGCCCACTCGTTGATTCCTTGCCTGGAAAACAAAAGCTTCACTTGGTTTTATTGTATTTGGTGTGGCTGCCATGCTAAATCTGTATATTCTAGAAGTGTCCAAACGTATTGTTGAAAATGCCTTATTAGAGTTTGAAAGCCTTCCTTGTGATGGCAGGTTTTGTCATTGTGTATCTTTTTTGTTTTAAATTGGCTGTATGCTAACTATTTTTATATTTGAAATCAGATGGTTTATATTATCACTTTATAAATATATATTAAAATTTGACAGGAGTGGATCAAGGAAAACCGTGTACTGCAGATAGTGCTTAGAGATTCCCTTCACCAACCGCAGTATGTTGAGAAGTTAGAAAAGATTATACGCTTCATCATCAAGGAAAAAGTGAGTATTGAGTGTATATTTCAGCATTGAACATGTACGATGTATGGCTCCTTCTAAAGCTGGGCCAGTGTGTGTTTTTGCAGTATTATGTAAATTTAAATGTTCCTTTAAATTATTGCAATGTGTATTTTATAATTTTTTCAAGGCTTTGACACTGGAGGATTTAGATGACATCTGGGCAGCACAGCATGGAAAACATGAAGCTATTGTTAAAAATGTTCATGACCTCTTGGCCAAGCTTGCATGGGATTTTTCACCCGAGCAGCTGGATCACTTATTTGGGTGCTTTCAGGTAAGTTAGATTGTTGTGTATTCACTCCAATTCTTTCTATTTTGTAAGAAGTTGTGACTGTAGTTACCCTTTACTTCTTCCTCCAGCTTATTCATATTTTTTATTCATATACACTTAGGGGTTACCTTACCCAACCTGTCCTCTTGAATAGTACATGGCATTTTGACACAAATCCTCAATTGCCAAAATGTGATGTACCATAAATCACAATGGCCCGCAACATTGACAGGCTGTTGTGTTTTCTGTTCGTGAGGCCCCGGTTAGGTTAGTTTTGAGCAATTTCGAGCAACGTACATTGTTTTAGTGACTTTGCAACTTGAGAGGATGGGCTGCAATACTGGTACTACTCATTTCCATCTTGACTCTTCTGTGCTTTCAGTTTCCATTGATGTCCTCTTACTTTCTCTACCTACACTAAACTGCAGTATTTCTATTAATTTATACAAACATATACACATACTCTTATATTTATACTCTTAACATATACATTCCTATATGTTAAGCTATTCATTTTTCTCTTGATCGTTTCTAACTACAGTAGATATAATTTTTAGTGTAGAAAAAACTGTTTTTGTGGTACGGGAGGAATACTCCAGTGCGTGTGGTGCTACAAAATGTGGACGATTTTGAGAAGTTGGTTGTCTTTCTCTGTGCCGTTATTCTTTGGAAATGAACAGAATGTTGAAAGCTCATGGTATGGCAAATTAAAGATAAATGTAATGGATTTCATTGAAATTTACTAATTATTTTGGTGTTTTTAAATTGAGCTTTCATTTAACAGACTAGCTGGAGCCAGGCAAGTAAAAAACAACGTGAGAAGCTCCTAGAGTTAATACGCAGGTTAGCAGAAGATGACAAAGATGGAGTTATGGCACATAAGGTAAGAAATATAAATCTCGCTTTATTCTGGCTTGAACTGAAGTTATCACTTGGCATAATTTTCAAGTGTAATGTCTGTCTTTGTTGGATTTGAATATAACTAGGAATGTAAAAGTAGTTATATCTAAGAGAGCAAATTTAATGAAAGTTAATATTTTATATGGGGAACACTTGGGTGAAATCTTCATCTTCCAACTAGCTGGGAATACATAGTAATTGGGGTGTTTACGTTTGCATGAAGGAATGGGTACTGTTGGTACTGTGTATTGATTTTTAGTGTAGGTAGAACTGTGGCAAGGTAATTAGCATGGTTTTGAAATATTGAAATGTAGCACATGTTAGCGCATGTTAGTCTTGTTTTGGAGATCAAATTTGTTATTTTTAGTGCATGTTGTTCATGAACAAACGACCCATCCTCCTGTTAAGATAGTTTTTGTAACCATGTGCACCATAGTGCAAAGATTGACATACTATGCACTTAGTAGACTTTGGTAATGTTCCCTTTTATAAGAATCCGGAAAAAATAAAGCTAAAAAACACTTAAATATTCCTAGGCCTAGTTTGGCTCACACATGCACTGTATTAGGCCTAGGAAGGTTAGGTTAGTTTAGTTTCTTTGCAACATAACTAGAAAATCCTTTCCTGTTTGTCCAAATTCAATAGTACCAATTTCTACCTTCTAATTGCGTTGTATGTCGGTGTATGTACTATGCTCCTCGTTGTTACTGTAAGTACTGTACTATCAAAACAGGAGGATGGGCTGTAACTAATGAACTGATTGGAACCAGACCTCATGTCAAAATCTGTTGCATCGTACTTTAGTTTAATTTCTCCAATTATCAATAACATTTATTGCTAGTATTTTACAAAAAATGATGAGTTAATATTTTAACGCAAATATACAAACAAAATTGTATATTTGTTGTATAATCATAAATATAATACTGGTATAAAGTATTATTTACTTGACAGTGAACGTCAACTTTCCGTAACCCGTGAGTGCTCTAGTGAGGTGTTCTTGTACTGAATTAAACGTGACAGCCAATTAAATATTTCCCTCGAAAGTCGCATTATTTCCTATTAATTACTAGAATTAACTTCAGAAGATTGTTATAGTTTATTTTTGTAATGATATTTTATTGTATAACTATTTTTAAATTTGAGAAACAGTATGCCGTACAGTAGTTAATATTCCTGTATCTCTTATGTTTAGTTCACATATATATGTGCTGATTTGCACTAGAAATTTTAATGTGTTCATAGAATTGATGCTAATTGGTATTTTTCATAAAGTCAAAATGTTTTGTTAAAATTGGAATTCTGAAGAATTGAATTGAGTTGGGAGTGCAGCATGCAGTGTACCTTGTATATCCAAACCATTTCTTTTAGTACATTTGTTAATTTAGTTTAAATGGCGACATGGCTCGGACTGCTTGTCAAGTACAGTAATTGGCTGTTGTTTAATACAGTACTACACTATATTAATTTTTATAATGGGAGATGATGATGATGATATTTTGGTTCAGTATATGGAAACCTACAGCATAATCTCATGTATGATAGAATGTCTTCATTATTTAATGTCACAGCTATGTTTATTTCCAAGAAAATCACCCGGATCACAGGTTACAATCCATGATATTTTAGTGTTTTCCCTGAACATTGGTATTTTTTTTTTTTTTACCCCCACCACCAGGTTTTAACACTACTGTGGTCATTAGCCCATTCAGATGACGTACCAACAGAGATAATGGACCAGGCCCTAAATGCTCACGTGAAGATTTTGGATTATTCCTGCTCGCAGGTATAGTACTGCGTCTTTGTTCCACATCTTCATTTTAATATAATTAAAATATGGAAAATAGGTAAGAAACATATATTTTGTATAATTGTGGATCAAATTTCATTCTGTAGTCTCTTATGAAGCTAAATTTTTGTTTTCTCTTGCTCTGAGAATGAGCCAAGTTATTAATTCATTAGCAAGTGCCATTTGTGGGGTAGGGAGGTAACATCTTGAGGAAGAAAATAGGTATATAGATAAAAAAGAAAATGCTATTGCTGTCTTTTGGTAGAGAGTAGTAGACACAGACCAGGTGTAGACAGAGGTTGGTGCTCTTGAGAATTATAGCTGCCTAACTAGGCTTGGCCAGCCAAATGCTGACGGGTTATGGCCATGTTGTAAGCATTTGATTGATCTTTGTTTTAAAATATGTAAAGCATAATTTCATATAATTTTACACCGGATATAAATGCTGGTATTGACCAAATGTAATCGAATCAGGCCTTTAATATGGCCAGCACTACAATGGCATGGCGAATATTTGTCGTCTCTCCGTTGGATGCAAATGATATTTAATGTATTTTTAAGGGCATAAACTGGGTAATATATGGTAATACTAGCAAAGATGGTATATAATTTTTTTTTCAAGTTTTGAGGAGAATTAAACATTACTGAGGCATCTAAAATGTGCTTTATTAATAATCAACATTGCAAGGGTCAAGTTGAATTGGTGCACCTTTTGTGCTTGTACAGTCATCTTGAGCAATATTTAGCACCCTTTAGAATATCAACACAGATGGTGCTACATAGTGTTCCCAGTTTGGTGCCTTCTTTTGATAATTGTCTAGTACAAATTTATGATCCAATTGTATTATATAATTTTTAAATACAGTGTGTGGTTTTTTCTGTAAAGCTTGTTATGTTTTGATGTTTAAATGCATATACTATATCTTGGGAAAAATGTTAATTAACCTTAAAGTTGCTCCTTACAAGATTTGACATTCCAGGACCGAGACATTCAGAAGAAACACTGGCTTGACCGATGTGTTGAGGAACTCAAGCATGACAAATGGGTGCTTCCTGCTCTAAAGCAGATACGAGAAATATGTTGTTCCTATAGTGAAGCACCGCCCAATTTTTCGCAGCATCAGCGCCCTACTCCACATGTCAGCTACCGTCATGATATCATCTCCAAACTCCAAAATCAGCATTCTCTTGTGGTTCTTGTAGCTGATAATCTCACAACTTATATGAAGAATATTAGAATAGCTGCAAAAGGTGTGTTATAGCCATGGGATAAGTGGACTATTTTTTTAAATGAAACGACTTGTAATAGTTTTTAGTGTGTAATTTGTTTCTGCTTGTTTTGTTTTGTTTCAAGATGATTCCAAGGTAATTTTAGTTACCTGTACAAGCACTACTAAGAAAATTTATCAGATAGAAATGTTGTAGTAAGTGTGCAATTTAACTTGTTTTATTATAATATAAATGAGTTGCAGAAAGAACTTGTGAAAAATATTATTTTTCTCTAATCATGTCTAATGGAATAAATTGTTAGTGTAAGTGATATTTGGCAGAGGACTCTAGTAAAACTTGATGTAATTTAAGAATTGCTATATACTGTGTTTCAATCAACTATGGCATTCTCTCCAACAATATCAGAACACTTGCTATACAACTAACACTAATTGACTTTCTGTATAAAAGCTCTTGGCAGTATTTAGTAATATTCCATTAACTGCATACACACTCATTATTCACGAGAGGCCCAACTATTTACAGTCAGCTTGAAAATACATAATTATGTACACCTTAAAAGGTTTCTCGTTTGTTCACTCTTGGTTGTTGTTGTAAGAATAACATTTCAGGAATGCTCTTTGCTATGAAACCCACCTTGTTACTTTCCAACTGCTGTAAATGTTTGGTAATTTTCTGTGTGCAACCAGTCCCTATTTATTTTGCCCAAAAATATTGCTACAAGTCTTCCTACAATCACATTTATATTTGTTATTTTGGCTGTTTCACACTGGTCACAGTGGCACTTCCTTAAGTTTTAAGACATTCTCCACATCTATTCTCTTCTTTTCACAGTATTAAATTATTTTAGCATAAATGTAATCAGTGCCTACCTTTTCTTTGGCTATAACTTCTTGCATACCTGTACTTTTATTCTTCTAGGTATCTTGAGTGATAAATTGACAAGTTTAATAAATTTGTGGGTTGGATTTTCTTTGTCATACTTGCAAGTTGATTGTTGTACTTTCACCAGTAAAAACTGTTTGTTTGGTTTTTGTCCCTGAAATCTACCTTTAAATTTTAGAAGTACAATATTCTCTTCACTTACCATTTTCCTATGTTGTATGTAATAGTTTTAAGAAGTTGCTGAAGCCGTACAATGGGAACTAATCTGCATTTCTAAACTCTTCAGGCATGCACGCTCGTGCATTATTGACTTGACTACGATGGGTTAATAAGTATTAGTTTGTCTTCGTTCAGGGATGTAGGTGTGATCCTATTTTACTACATCAATGGTGTTGATGTAGTACAATGTGCTACATTGTACTACATTGTGCATGTAGTATTTGTGTTTAGTTGTCTTGTTGCATTTTCTAAATTCTTTCTAAAATAATTTGAAAGTGAATCTGGGTAGAATGGTTATGTTTAACACCTCTGCGTTTTACAGAAAATCCCGACCTGAATCCAGCGGATATTATTCCTGATCGGCGATATAACCATATATACCAAGTTCAGGAGCGACTTAGTTTTCTTAGGTTTTTACTAAAGGTTAGTAAATTTGATCCTGAATGTTTGTTGGGCTGGTTTCTATAGGGTTTTGAGTCCTTGAACAGTATATACAAACAAAATAAAATAGGAATTTACCTGTACATTAATTAAATACGCAATTGAATTTGAGTAAGTTCGATCACAAAGCATGCCTTTATACTTTTTAGTATTGTACTATATTTGGCACTTGCACCTTGCAGTTGCAAAAGTAGACAAGATATAGCTCTTGATTTCCACCTCATTTGTAGTTTCTAATAGTTATACATCTAGGACTTTGTGTTTTAAGAAGAGAACTAGTAACAAGGACCAAGTGGAGTGTGATAGGGGGGGGGGACAAGAGGAGCAAGGCTTATAGGATGTTAGGATGTATTAAAACCATAAATTTCTTCACTGGGCTGTTAGTGAAAAATTTGATTAATACAGTACTGGGGCATTTTTTTCTTTTATTATAGAATTAAAATCTTAGAGGTGACATGGCTCTTGGGTGTGCCTGAATGCAATTCATGTAGAATACGGTGCTTGGCTGTTGACATGGGTAACTTGATCTCCTTGCTACCAAAATAGAGAGTTTACATACAGTACGAGTAATTGGTATTCAAATAACATGTGAACAACAAGAAGTAATCTGCAAGATGAAACTGGTAGCTACCAGATTTTTAGTTTAGCAGTTTATTATTTTCATTGGTGAGAATTTTACAGGGAATAAGTGTTTGTCTGAAGATTTTGCAAATCAGCATAATTACATGTCTCTAATCCTGACAGGATGGTCAGTTATGGCTGTGTGCACCCCAGGCCAAGCAGATTTGGAACTGTCTAGCGGAGAGTGCTGTATTTACTGTAGATAGAGAGTCGTGTTTCAAATGGTTTTCCAAGTTAATGGGTGATGAGCCAGACCTTGACCCTGAAATCAACAAGGATTTTTTTGAAAACAACATTTTGCTGCTTGACCCATCGTTGTTGACCGAGAATGGCATGAAGTAAGTAGACTAACCTAACCTTAATGCACCGTAGAGTTTATAGGAAATGCCAGAATTTTTTTTAATTGTGTAACAGTTATAAAAAATTATCGTAATTTAATTAGTAGAAAATTAACAATGACTTAAAAACCATAAAAATTAAAATTTTGTTTTTAAATGGCTTGTTTTAAATTTTGAGGGAATTTGAAATTTAAAAAAAAAATCCCTCTTTGAGGGAATTATATAGTACATTGATATTATGGAATTTGCTGTGACATTGAATCTTTAAAATTACTCATGGCTTGAATGGTTGGTTGTAATTTAGGTACATTTCATGTTTTTGTAGATAAACACGAGTGATTAGAAGCAAGGTGAAATATACAGTAGTATCCTAATACTGTAATGATTTAGTGCTTAGAAATGTTTCCACTCTATAGTATTTGGCCGAGTTTCTTGGTCATCAAACGGGGGTTTGGACCCAGTAGGTATGACTGATGATGCCAGAAGAAAGACTTAGTAAGCAGGCGATGAGTCACAATAACGTGGCTAAAGTAAATTGACCAGACCACACACTAGAAGGTGAAGGGACGACAACATTTCGGTCCGTCCTGGACCATTCTCAAGTAGATGCGAGTGAAACGTCGTCGTCCCGTCACCTTCTAGTGTGGGGTCTGATCAAAGACTTAGTAATTTTATTTGATTAAAAATAATCTTTTTAAAATTAAATTGTTAATGATTTTCATGACGTAGACTTAGTGGTTGTCTTCGCGATGATATTTTCTCTTTGAACAGGTTCAACCTTGCATAGATACTTTGACTCCATCTACTATTAGAAAATGGTTGCAAAATAATTTTTTATACTAAAATAGTTTCAATATTTTTATAGATTTAGATGGAAAGAGCAAGGTCTTATTTAAAATTTAATAAAGAATGCAAATCAAATTAATTTTTTTTCATGCAAATCTACCAAAAGGTGTTTGGTAAAAGGTTAAATTGTCTTCTCCTCCTACAATGATACAGTGTATAATGAACTTGTGTAATGTTGTATGTGCATTCACAGGTATGAGAGAATATTAATGAAATTTATATATTATTTTTTCCAGATGTTTTGATCGGTTCTTTAAAGCTGTTAACTCCAAAGAAGGAAAACTGGTTCTGAAAAGGAGAGTTTACCTTATGGACGATGATGACCTTATAGGTGTAGATTATGTCTGGCGAGTGAGTATTTGGTGTGCACCTCTATCACATGTTTTTTCGAAGAACCTCGTGTGCGTGTGTGTATTTGAGAAGATAAATTTTGCCATTATACTAAAATTGTTAAGTGTTCTTAGGTTTCTTGTGGAATATTGATTTGTGACATTTCCATTTGAAGAGTAGTTGGGGTTGATCGGCCTTTTTACATTAACAGGTAGTATTGTGTGGGACGGAAGATATTGCATGCCGTGCCATTGAACTATTGCGAGAGACGTACACAAATCTTGGGCCAAGGCTTCAAGCCAATCAGGTCATCATACATGATGACTTCCTCTCAAGTTGTATGTCTCGGCTTAAGGTAAGATGATGATGCAAAGTTAAAGGATGTATAGAATTTATGTAATGCAGCTATTGTAATGGGAAAATGTTTCCGGAGCTGTGTAATCTAAAACGCAATAACATTGATGCATTTTGTAGTTTATTGTGTAGTAATTTGCGGATCAAGTAAAAGAAACGCGTCTTTTGACTCTGGTTTGTTGCACAATTTCAAACTAAATAGTGTCCTAGTACTCCTAAGTAGTATTCTTAATTCATTCCATTACATTTAAAGTAGCTTCAGCACTGCAATCTGTAAAATAGTACATGAAGATTTTGTCACTTATATTTTGTCAACATTTGTATTGATGTGTTTCTTGGTCCCGTCTCCTTATCACGTGTATTTAAGATTAAAAATTTTTTTTTAAAAATGAGTAATTCATAAAGTTGCAAAATGTTGTTAATACCAGCTATTGTAGTGAGTTTCTTTTATATTGTACTAGTATATACTAATGTTTTGTTTTTTTAACAGGCAATGTATGACACTGTATCAGTGTTAGATCAAGATAAGGATTCTATTAATAGAGTTCGGCAAGAAACTACAAGAATGTGTCGGGTCATTAAAGTTTTATACGAATATGTTTCGGAGTGTGATGGTGACTTTGGTGACGACAGATCTATTCTACCTCTTGGAAGGTATTTAATTTAACACAGTTATACCAATACTTAAGTAATTATTGGACAAAAACTAATTACTGCTAATGATAAAAGAAAGAAAATTGTAGATGTTTTGCTAAAATTTGTATTTTTTTTTTTATCTTGAAGAGCATCAAGAGGGAAGCATTTGTCACTTTTGGTGAGGTTTCCTGTACAAGGTCGGCAGCCGGATGAGATTGATGTATGGACTCACACAAATGACACGATGGGCTCTATAAGAAGACAAGTTAGTTGCTCTGCTTTATTTCTGATAGAATTTTAATTATAAGGGTATAGAGAAGTGCAATCAAAAGCATAACAATGTGAGATTGAAATCTGTGTGAAGATTATTTTTTAATTGCCAGATCTCTTAAATGGGTGCTCATTTGTAGATATTCCATTGTTAATGGTTCATTTATTTTATTGTTTTAGGTACTTCACCGGTTGAAATCTACTGCTCCGAATGTAAAAGTAGAGCTTTACTTGAACACAGATCCAATAGACCCTCTGGATGACAAAAAGATCATTGCTCACATGCCTCTCAGAGATAAAATGGTAAGTTGTACCTCTAGTGCATTTGTTATGTTAATTTTATGACATCAAACTTGAATCAAGAAAACTGTGTGTACGTTGCTGTAAACGAACGTTACATGGTAATTGGAGTTCTCCTTTGCAGATATTAACAGCCAAGCTTGTTCAGGTGGGAAGCAATATGCCATCGTCCCCAGACAGCTCTTCGGACTCTTCAACGGGCTCTCCTCAGCACCCATATGAAGGACCTAATGTAGAAGCTGAAAATTGTCTTCCTGGTGTTGTAAGTAATTTATATTGCTGTAAATGATGGCCTTGTCAAATTTATTCTGGAAAAGTGGACAATACTTAGTGTCGCTTCATTGATTGTTGCGTGGGGAAACCTGTTGTTTCCACCCCTTATTGGCATTTTGGTGGGGGTTTCTACCAGTATGTAGTCCATAGACTCCCTCTGCTTCCCTGCCTCTTGTGAAGGGGCAGGGTGCAGTTTCCTGCTCACTGTGACCTGCAATTGCCCTAGAATTGGGGATGCTTGATATTGTACTAAGTTGCAGGGAGGGTGGGAGGAGGGAAGAGTATCTATTTTGATGACTTTGCTGTAAATCTTGTGAAAATTACCATTTTGCAAAAAAAAGTTAATTGGTAAAAGTAATGAGGGTTAAATTTAGAAACCAGGAAGTAGGAATTAAGGATGTCATTTTAACCAGTTTTATTTTACAATCTTTCAGATAATGTCCGGTCAAGCCAAATACACGCAGTTTCTTCTTCAGTTAGCTGACCTTGGCTGCACCTTACAGTTAGCACAGTTAAGGGACAGTGCACGGGCACTGCTCAACATCATGCCAGCTGACCAGTATGCCGGTAATGCTTGAGCCTCTTGTTCATGTGCTGACTAATGTAATAAGTGCTGAATGTTTATCGAGTGAATGGCCTGTTAAGTGCAAATATTAACCTGTTTTACTGTTAAACTGGCATCTTGTGTTAAATATGGCAGAATGAATTATTACATTAGTTCTTTAAATTGAAAGATTTTCATCACTCTAAGTTTTGCTTCCCCCTCTTAAAAAGTAGGTTTTGTTTGATACATATTTCATACAAGTGTTGTTAATTATTGTTCCTTAATGATTACTTGATGCTGATCATCACAATCATTTAACATTTGTTAGCAGTATGGCCTGTCATTTTGTCTTTGATTTTTTTTTTATTCCTAATATCAGTAACCTTAGACAAACCTAAAAAAACTCTGTAGCTAATTTGTGGAAAGTCATAACGTTTTCAGATGTTGAATGTTTGATTTCAAGATAGGCTATATTGTTTATTATTTTATGTATATGCGTAAATAGGACTGAATTGAACATTTTTGTTGCAGCTAATAATCTCCGGAAAATCTGTATGGAGCACGCAAAGATTGGGGAGCAGAGCATGGCACCTTCATTGGAGAGCATTGTGTTTTCATCATCGCCATCACAGGTTCTCTACAATTTACAGGTATGCTTGCATTACTATATTTGTCATAAAAAGTTCTAGTGTATATGTGTGTGTGTGTGTATCTATATATAATTGTATTATTTTTCATTTCTAATCATGAAATTGATTTTGTTCTGGAACCACATCTGTGTTAATAATTCACGCTAGTTTCGGCACTTCTGTTTTGACCCTAAACACAAGTCTCGACTGCCACGTCAAACCCCCAACTTCACTGTAACTATGACATGCAACAACACTTCAACAACTTGTACGGGACAGAACACTTTAAAATCTTCCACATGGAGTAAAGTAAAACAATGAACCTACCAAAAAAAAACACAAACTTGAAACGTCCTTTATTTCTTTTTAAACATACAAGGACTAAAACACATACAAAGTTCCCTTTAATAAATGGCCTTCTCACAGAAGCAAATGCAGTGTTTTGAGCATTGGCATATACATTCAAGCCTAAACAGTAATGTTTGGACTCCTAACAATAATATCTACAAAAGTGATAGTGAATAAGATGCAGTGAAGACTTGATAAGACCCTAAAAGTGTGGTAAAGGCATTTAGGATAATAATTATGTTCATATGCAATCACTTAGATGGGTTTTCTGCCCCATTGCACATCCCTAGCATTCTAGATTTCATTTTGCCTTGTATACTGTATCTGACTGGAAAGCAAAAGGCACTTTAACGTTCAAATACAGTAGGTGTTTTATTGAGTAAAGAGTTGAAAAGTGATTTTTTGAGGTCTGTTGAACCCAGCTGTGCCCCATTCAAGCTGAGGGCTACCTATAATGCTCCCTATTTACTTCCTGATGATACCTACCTACTGCATAAAACTGGGCTAATGATGTTGATCATGGAAAAAGGCTAAATTTTGTAATAGTTTTCACATTGTCATTTTGTTTCGTACAGGTACTCTACTCCCTTTTAATGCCCGCTCACAACCCCATGGCAGAGAAGGCACTAGAGTTCCAGTATAATTTCATGAAGAGTGGAGGTGTCAAACTCATTATTGACATGCTAGCCAAAAACAACTTCCTGTCAAATACTGACATGCCAACAAAACGGTAAGAATACTGTCAATACTATTGTGATTTTTTTCACAACAATGTAGCTTATTATTCATGACTTTAATGATGAACAAATTGAGGAAAAGTGTTTGCTATACACAGAGTAATCACTCTAACGTGACTGTATCAATGAGAAAATCTGTAGGAGCCGCGATGAGGGTTCAAACCAATGCGGTGGGTGTTTCCATGTACACGCCTAGTCAACTAGACCTCGACTTGGTATTCCTATTCCAGCTTCAATAGAAGCCTCGGGAAATCTTTGTGTGTTCAGTAGAACTCGAAGATGCAATACCATGTCATGGCCAAGTTGACTAGGGTATGTGCACGGGAACACCCACCGCATTGCTACGAACCCTCATCACGGTTCCTACGAATTTTCAGTGTTTGCCATGTTCAGGTAAACAAAGTAATGTTAATGCACGAGGAAAGAGCAATACATGTGGGGGAGTAGGGCAAGTAGATAAATGTACAACTCTTGGTCTTCATTGAGAAAGTAAGACGACCAAACTTGAATGACAGGGCTGGGCTTCTAAGTGTGAAAGACTGGCAGCTGCAGTGTAATGTTAACAAACACATGGTTCTGAGTCTAGGAAATGATAGTTTAGCTGTTGCTAATATCTGGTGTTCTTTCATGCAGTTTTTGTTGGTTGTCATATTGCTCTGGCCCATCTAGCATTTACTTTATAAATGATCAATAACGCAATCTTGTTCATTGCTGTTACAATTCCTAATATGTTGTCTGTGTGGGGTGGAGCTTTAGATCCCTGCTGCATTGGCACAAATTATCAACTTGCCCCCAGGTATGTCAGAGATCCTAACCTGAGGTGAGTAGCACCTTGCCCTTAGGCCCAAAAATGCTTTTCCCATATTATATATTTCACTCGAAGCCTAATTATTCATTTGCGCCTTATCTTTACAGGTCAGCCTTCTTGGTGGTGTTGAAGTTGGCAAAATTGGCATTTGTGACAGTAGGTTACGCTATTGTAAGTGTTGTCACGTCTAGCAATACGACCACCACCACGAACAGTAATGGTGGAACTGAAGACATATCGCCGCCTTCAACTGGTAATTATTGTCAATTTGATCCCCCATCATAATGAATGAATAATAATAATGTTTGCAGGCGATCGAGTCACAATAACGTGGCTAAAGTATGATGACCAGACCACACACTAGAATGTGAAGGGACGACGACGTTTCGGTCCGTCCTGGACCATTCTCAAGTCGATTGTGATGTTAACAATAACGAAACGTCGTCGTCCCTTCACATTCTAGTGTGTGGTCTGGTCATCATATTGTTTGTTGTTCTACTATAATCTTGAAAGGTTCATACAGTCCTAGAAAACTCGCGAAAAGTCCTGGTCAAGGGCTAAATATTCATAAAACTATACACAGTTTGTCATGCCAGGCAATTTTTGTCATAGCATTTGCAGTTTTATCTTAATTTGAACTAAACTTAATTTTCAGATTGGGGTATTCTTTTCTCTCATCTTTGGCGATATACTTTCCACTTTCTACATATAACTCCCATTTTTGGGTCCTTTTGCTGTAAATGTTCTCTTTATTACAGTAATATTTTAACATTTTCTTGGGCGATGTTGCTTCTTGGTGTAGCTAGTATATTTTTGATCAGCGAGAAGGGATCGGTGGTATATGATTGTCGGTTACCAGTATTTTACGGAATGATGATTCCTTTGTATCTGGTGTGCTGTATTGTTCTGGAATGATATTGCTGTCTGGTGATATTTGTAGAAAGTTACTAACCCATTTGTAAAGTATTCCCTTGTTTTTTATCCAGTGATGGATATCCAGTGATGGCTCGCATCCCGGTGAGCACACGCCCCAATGTTAAACTGATTTACCAACAATGTTTATACATAATAAGAAGCCATTGCAAACATTTTTGCATGACACCATTTGCGTCATCCCCCATACTTCGTTTTTTGGTTGTATGATGGAATATGCGGCATCAGGCAGCGAAAGTCTTAAAAAAATTGTGACGGATGCATATGGGTGGTGAGGTTATAATTTACTGAGTACACCACGTGTGACTGGCAACAAAAGGATTTGGGTCGCAGCCTTTCAAATTCGTTCAATAGAACTTTGTGTCTTTTAAGCTCATTGTATCTGGGGGTGACTCAGAATATCATTGCATTGCTTCAAAACATTTTTTCAGATATATCATGATCTTGGAATTTCTTTGTGCACATAAAGCATTGGCAACATGAAGGTACTGTATGCGCTTGCCTATTACTGCTTGCGTACCTGGGACTATGGGGAACCATACTGCATATATATATAAGATGGGGGGGGGGGGGAGGAAGACATTTAATGAGCTGGTGATTGACAACTGAAAAATATATTATCTACTTTAGAAGTAGACAATTAAATCGGCTTTTATGGGGTAAAACAAGGCTGGGCAGGTTGGAATTGTTGTATTGGATTCTTGTTTGACAGAAGCATGTCAAAAGTTTATTTGTTACAGAAAGCATGAGTAAACTTTATTCAGAGGAAAACTAAATATTGGTTTCATGTTTAGTAAGTTAATTGATATTTTAAGTGCAAGTTCTCCATTTCTTTCTTAAAGTATATGAATATTTAAGTTTTTTTTTTTGCATTCTTAGATTTTGCATTAAAGGGATTTTCTTTATATTGTCTCTGGACAGACATGCAACTAGGGAAAGAACAGGATGTCTGTAGTTCCTGCATTGTCCTTCAACCATCTATATCGAGTTGGTACACGTTTTTGAGTTTTATTTCACCTTCACTCTTGTTCATTCTGTCATTGTACTATAAACTTAGCCAAGTTTCTTATGCAACAAGGTAGGTTAAACTGTTCCTTTCAACAACTCTTCTAAAAACTCAAAATATCTTATCTTTTACCTTTTATGGTTTTCTTCAGTGTCCAACATCTTGGAATTTGTGGAACATTTGTTTCCACTAATTGTGAAGGGAGATTCATTCCCAGCGAGATTCCTGAACTTCATCTGTGGTTATTGGCTGCAAGTTTAGGCTTACTTCATTCCTGCTTAGACTTATAGAAATGAGAAAAGGAAGAGCATATTCATCCACATTCTGTCAGCTTATGGCAGATAGGTTGCTGGTGTTGGTGAGCAGATGCACAGTTTAGTGAATATCTTAACATTTATGAGAAAATATTAGTCGTATGATCGGATCGAACCACTCGTTGGCATTCCTCGGGCACACGCTCTTGGGAGTCCAGGGACACGAGTTTGATCCCATCGTGTAGCATCAATATTTTCTTAGATATATCACCTAATTGTGATTTCATTGTGCATCTAACATTTGTATATAGTTGAAACATTCCTGGGTGACAAGACCCCCAAGAATTGCTTACTGATTATTATCCCATTTGGTTCCAGCATGACATGGGCGTGTGTTGTCGTGTTGCGTTGTTTGGTACACATGCATATATATACAGACCAGTGATGTCATGCTTCTTTATCATTTGGAACTGTAAGTTTTGTATTTCAGTGTTTATATAACTGTGTGAGCATGCTACACATGCCCCTGGCAAAGTGCAGAACCAGTGCCTTTTATACTGGGAAAAATTAAAGCTTACTGGTACCATGGTACTTGGATCTAATTCTTCCTGAATCATCAGGAACATGCATTAATCTGATCCTGTGTAGATCATGAGGATAAATTTGAATGGGATTGGCAGTCTGACCCAGCAAATCATGGAGAGACATGTTAATATAACTTAACATGAGGACGATATCTGGGATTTAAGCCACAAAATCATGCCATCTCATGAGTGGAGAGTACTTTTTTCTAGTAAGTTTTTTATATAGGGTTTTAGGCTCTGGGCCAGGTACTGAAACCTAGAAAACTGATGGAAAATCAGTAAATTTGTTTTTGTCGGGCTTGGTGCCTCGTGCATCCAGGGAATGGTAATGGCTACCCAATTGTCAAAAGTGTGTGATAGCTCATATTTAATTGAAAACTTGAATAAGATATTAAAATAATTGGAAAGGGACTAATGTGACATCCTATACATTGCCTCATTTCTAACTTTTATTTGAAAGTGTCTTGGCATTAGGGTTGTAATAAGTTTTCCACGTACCTTTGTGCGTGTTGAGTTTTCAGTGCTGTCACATCGTCTTGAAACTTAAAGGTGGTTGATTTCTACCTCCTCGGGTCAAAGATTATTCCTACTTGTTTACCACTCACTACATGTATTTCCTTATATTTCTTGGGCTCATTTCTTTCCTACTTCTAACTGTAAAATAATCCTTTTTGTTCCTCATCTGGTAACTTTACTCTAATTCCATTGTGATCACATAGCTTCTTGTCATTGTCTCTTCTGTCATATTTCGTTTGTTCACTTACCTCATCATCATAGCTCATGTTTTGTATTTGAAGTTCCCCTCTTGTGACAAATGTATAGATTTTCTCCAATTTCTTGTGCCTTACCTGGTGTGGGGTTCAGGCTGGAGTAGCATACTCTGACAGGTCAACCCGTCCTCTTAAAAAGAACGTCACTTTTGGCTGGTATGCGCACTATGGCCAAATTTGGACGTAATTTGAAATGAAATCCACTCACAAAAGTGACGTTCTGTTCCGTTTTCTATTTGAGTCGTCCGGCGTACGCGCAGAGGTTATAACAGGACACTTTAAATTAACGTTTTTCATAACGTTTTGAAACTTTATGAGAATTTCCTGCCCACCTAACCTATCAGAGGACCCTTAACTTACTGTTGTTGAAAAAAAAAATCCCAAATTTATTTTCATATTTTTTTCAATTTCAAATTACGTCCAAATTCGGCCATACGGGCAAACGGCCAAAAGCGACGTTCTTTTTAAGAGGACAGGTTGGACAGGTCTAACACAATATATAATGGTCTGAAGGATTCCTTAATGAGGTTCTTAAGTCATTCTTATATTTGCTTATCTTGCATATGTTGCTGAGCTGTTAATACATGATTCTGGTGTTACACTTGCCGTATGTTTGCATGCGTGTGATTCTGTACGTTCGTCATAAGCTGCATTTTGTGAAGACGTTTATGGCATTTGTATTTTTCTTTTCCCCAGGTACGAGTAACTTGTCAGCCTCGACTCATACTCAAGCTCTAGTGCTACAAGAAGCTCTCCACCATATTCCCAACCCTGCCTCAGATTGTATGGTGCGCAATGTGGCATCCCGTCTGGCTCAGTCACTTCACGACCAGGTCACTATCACGTCATGCCTCTGGGCACACTTTGTAAGATCACAGGCAATTGTGTATGCGTGGTGGATTTGTTGACTAATTAGTTTGATTGTGAAATTACCAATTTGAAATTAGTGTTGTCTTGGATGTTTTAAAATTTGTAAATGTTTTGTTGCATTCTCCTAATTTTTATCTGTAGATTGTGTAATTTTAAAGGCATATATATTTTAATTAAAAACATTTTCATACATCTCCCAAAATGCAGACGAGGAGTCACAATAATGTGGCTGAAATATGTTGACCAAATCGTGCACTGGAAAGTGAAGGGACGACGACGTTTTGGTCCGTCTTAGACCCTTTTCAAGTCGATTGTGTGACAATTGACTTAAGAATGGTCCAGGACAGACCAAAATGTCGTCGTCCCTTCACTTTCTAGTGTGTGGTTTGGTCAACATCTCCTAAAAATCTTTGTGGGAAATCCCTTAAATTTAATAGTCTGTTAAACGTGATACAAATGTGTAGGATTTTATTAACAAAGGTCCATTCTTACCGAAATGTTTGTATTTTGGGTACACTGTATTTTAATTACTCTTAGCACTGACCCTTGATTATAAAGACATGCTCTTGACTGAGAGAACAGAATGTACAGTGCTTATAAGTAGAGGAACAAGAGTTAATTTTTTATAAATCCTCGCAGTTCCAAAGCCACACTATGAAAATTGGTATAAAAATGCTTATCTGCATAACTAGATATGTATTATTATTCAGTGGGACATTTTGCGTGCTGCACATAGGTACACAGAGGAAAGAGTATTGGAATATGTGGAAGGTGGATATTTGTCTTGTATAGAAAAGAGAAGCGAGAGTAGAAGGAAATTTTTAAAATGTTTCATGAAAGAACAGCAGACTAATAAAATGATTTTGATAGAACAGGGAAATAGTTTAAGACCATGAAGTGTTGTGTAGTTTGAAAAGGCAAAAAAAAAAAAAAATACTAAAGTAGGTTAAGAGAGAAAGCGAGTTATTGATTCTATGAGAAGGAAAATGAAGAATGGAGGAAAAGATCTATTGGAAACTAAAAATATATTTAAGGCAAAGAAACAAGGTGTTATGGGGAATTAAGTGAAAGTGATGGAAGATAAGGGAGGGAAGAGAGGAGAGATTAGATAGCAACTATACTTTGAAAATAGAGGAGGAGGAGAGGGAAAGAATGAGCAAGACAGGCAGAGGGCTTTTCTTAGTGCATGCTTATGTGTGTAATTCTAACAATTGTAAATATTAATTTGTAGGCAGATGGTGTTGGACATGTGTGTGTGCACGTGTTGTTCAGTAAACAGTTTGTGTGGCAAAGATGACCAGTGGATTGTTCGGTCCCTCCTTTTCTGGAGTTGTTGATATAACTTTTAATCCTACGTTAGTACTGTAACTTCGGATGTTTAAATCCCAAACAAACCATTCACCAAGCTAAAGATTTCTACTTAACAGCATGCACCATGATGACAGATTAATAGTTCTTCACAAAATAGTGGAATATCAATTTGTGAGTTAGATTATATAAATAAGTAAGGTGATTTTTGTCCAAATTTGTTGTGCTGGGGTGAAGAAAGACATCAAGGTACTAGTCAGTTTAGACACCCATAGGTACTGATGTGGTGTTAGAAAATCCTTTGTATCGGCGGTCTTCTGAAGCAGTTTGTTGAATCGCCATTACACTCGTTACTCAATATGCTCAAATATGTTGATACATTGCTCTCGTGATGAGCAAGATTGTCAGTTCAATGAAGTTAGCTCTACATCCCAGCCTTTTGTTCATATTTATTTCATATTGGTGTGCATCATCTGTTAAGTTTCTGTTCAAACATTCATGTTGATGGTTGCTTTAAATCAAATGTGAGAAAGAACTCGTTACTTATGGAAATGAAAAAAAAAAAGTGTACTTTTAAAACACCAGGTGAAGTGATTCTATAATGCAGAAAGCTAGGAAATAAATGTAAAACTTTTACTAATTTCTCACTTTTCATTGAGTGGGGGAAGGCATCAATCGAGAGAAAAAAAGAATTGGTATTTAAGTGAATGAAATTTGATAACAATAAATTGTGTCGTCCAATTTATCCTAACGTTTACTCTTATAACCAGCAGGGGTACTTGTTTGTTATCCCTAACCTGGGTAAGCAGTTAGGGATAACTTTAGCTCTTGGGCTTGTACGTAAAGTGTTGGAACAAGGGTTTCATATTGGAAAATAGGCAAATTTGATTTGAATACCTTACCTCTCTCTCCTGCCTATATATATATATATATATATATATATATATATATATATATATATATATATATATATATATATATATATATATATATATATATATATATATATATATATATATATATATATATATATATATATATATATATATATATATATATATATATATATATATATATATATATATATATATATATATATATATATATATGTCCAATACTTGACCTGTAAATCATTTCTTCTGAAGATGTATTAATATATGAATCGTATATTAGCATATCGTATATTAATACAATAACATTGAGCTGTAAGCTCAATGCTTACAGCTTTGAGCTTATTAGGGAAAGGTTGGCCTGCATATTTTTAATTTATGATAGGTAGGCTTTGTTTATTTCTTTAAAAATTTTATGTACTTAGGCTCCTTAGCTTATTTTTTTATTTATGATTTCTTATATAACCTAAAACATGGATCATTTTGCATTTTATACGAAAAATTAAGAGTTAAGTATGTGCAGACAAGCATAACTACCAACAGCAGTGCTGTTGGTAGTTATTGGTCATTCTTTTGGATTATATCCTTCACGAAGACCATTTAGAAATGTAATAATTTTAAGCATTGATTTCTTAGTGAAGTTGTTTGTGTCATTGCAGGTTACAGGTGTAGTTCCGGATATGAGTGTTGTTAGATCTATTCTCAAAATAACGTGGGCGTCGGCGGCAGGACAAGTCCATCTTATAACATCGTCTCTCGATGAAATTGAGAAAGCATCCGAACGGCCACCAACTAAACCGCCCGATCCCGAGGACTTGCAAGGTGAATTTTCCTGTAGACCTTATTGTTGAGGCATTGTGATGCTAAAAACTAATGTTTTGTATATTAACTAAGACAATTTTAAATGAATGATTTGATTTGACAATTTTGATATTAAGCGTCAATTACTTATTTGTGACTTTATTATTTCTTTGTAGATAATAAGTAAAGTGTCAGATATTAAATGGTGGAATTTGTTGCTACTGTTCTCTTGTCTGCTCTCTGGTAATGTGTTTGGTATTAAAAACAGTGTCAGGAGGAGGTAGTTGAATGCTGAATGTGTGTGAACTTGCCTAGTTGTGCTTGTGGGGGTTGAGCTTTGGCTCTTTGATCTAAAGATCCAAAGAAATCCTATGTGTGTGCGCATGTGTATGTGTGTAACTGCAGGAAGCAAGTTTGTTAGATCTTTTTCTATGAAGAGAGCAGAATGAATTTACTTTTTTTGTTGCATGATGCATAAACAAAGCAAATTTTCTTCCTTAGTTTTTTAATCTTCATGTATTTTTGTTTATTAACCTTTAAGTAAGCAGCTTGAATAGCTATTTGCAATTGTCTCCTGTGCTTGAGTTGCCACATTAAATATTTTTAATTGGTTTTATGAACTATTTTTTTGTCGTGCATACCATGATATAGGACACTACACTACACTGTAGTGTAGTGTCCTATCCCGGGAACCTCCCGGACGCAGGTTCGAATCCTCGTCACTGCCCTTGTGGATTTGTTCACCATGATATAGGACTTTTAATGAGCTGAGCCACTTGAGGGTTAAAACTAATTACATTTTTTATTTTTACTAATTTTAGTCATTCTTTATGTAATTATTGTGAATACGACTGACTTTACAGTGTGTCGCGAAGGTTTGGAAACATTGTCTGTGGTGTTGGCCCTTTACCCTCCTGCCTTGGAGACTCTGACCAAGGACTCTCAGTTCCACAAGCTGGTGATGGGGTTGGTGCTAGTGGGCGGGGAGCGGAGTATTCGACAGTGTGCGGTGGAACAGTTGTTGCTGATGGCCACCAAGTGTTCCAATTCCCCTCACACCCTTGTGGTCTTCATTGTCATGCTCTTCAATGTTCTTAATGGCCTTAATGGCGAGTATTCCAAGGAGTATTTCCAGGTATGTGACTTTCCAGTTGATATTGCCGCCATATTTGTACCTCAGAAATGTTGTTTATGTAAATTTGTGTTTCGTATATATTCATGTTTAGGTCACATATACAGATTTTATAGATATGCATATATGAATATATATGTGTGTATTGATATGAGTACACTATATGAATAAGTACATTTATGTACCAAAGAATATACATAATATATTTGTTTTAAAAGTACTGTTAACAAATTTTCTAGTTGCTGTGTGGATTGTTGAACTGGGCGTGTGTGTCAAGCGTGGCTGTGACGGGCGTTGATCGCCTGTTGACGACAGAAGTGGAATGGTTGAAGAATGTGCGAGCCAGTGTAGCTCAGATGGCCCAAGGTGGCCCAGAGCCCCCTGTAGATGACACACTACTGGAGGGCCATTTGTGTGTCACACGGGAGCTGGTAGCCTTCCTTCCACCTGAGAAGAAATACGAAATTGGTGGAGACCCTTCTAAATCAATATTTCTAATTAAGGTATGTAATGGCGATTCAAGTTGTTTGGGTGGTTGAAGCCCCAGATGTGTGTGTGCTGTATTTGTGGTTCATTGTGTAGTTTGATGACAATTTGGTTATTGATACTAGGTTTAATGCAAGATAATTAAAGGTTTGATATACAGTAGTTTCTCCAACTGGTTTACAAAAGGGGCATTGACTGACTTCCTGACTGCCAAACGGCGACCTAAAAATTTTAGTTGGGGACACTTATTGTCTCATATCTCGGTAGATATTAATAGAAAGTATTTTGGAAATATGAAGTTTGTCCTTTCAATCAACATTACGCACACACTCTTAAGTAAGCTGTTGCCGTAGAAACACACAAAGAACATTGTAAGAGGAACATGCGTTGCTTTCCAAGTTCAAACTTGCTTTTAATTATATGTAAGGTGAAATATTAAAGAAACTGTTCATGACAGATCAAAATTGGAATATGCAGCAGTTGTATGGTGCCCAAATCTCAAGAAGCACATAAACTGAAAAAAGTGCAACAGCAGGCTACAAAATGACTACTGGAACTGAAAAACAAGAGTTACGAGGAGGGACTAGAAGTGTTAAGCATACGAAAACTAGGAGATAGAAGAAAAAGAGGAGATATGATCACCCCTTACAAAATACTTACAGGAATCAACCAAATTGACAGAGGAATTCCTGAAACCATCCACTTCACGAACAAGAGGACACAGATTGAAGCCAAAAAAAATATTTGAAAGTTTTCTTTTGCAAATAGTGGTAGATGGATGGAACAAGGTGAGAAGGTGGTGGGGGCCAAAACAGTCAGTAATTTCAAAGCGTTATACGACAGAGTACTGGGAAGATGGGACATCACAAGCGTAGCTCTCATCCTGTAATTATACTTGGGTAATTGCTCCAACTCTTTGATGTTGGAGTATGTCACCTTGTAAAAGTTTGATGGACTGTGCTTGTGGACTAAAAGTGTGATGCCGGGAACCTACACTACACTGCACGTCATTGAACCCAGATTCTACAGTTATAATGCATGGTGCTGTTGCTTGTGAGGGTTGAGAATACAAAAAGAAACTATAGCTAAAATGCCATAAATTTTGTCCTCTTATGTGATTGACCTTTTTGACATTTTGGAACTAATGGAATCTGATGGATTCCACTAGAAAGGCTATGTTAATTTTCTATAATATAAGAATTAAATGCTATTTTTTTCTCTTTGCAGGAACTTGTAGAAGACTTTATATTCCCATTTTCTAAGGTGTACCTTCAATTGGAGCATGCGGCCGAGATGCCTGCTGAGCAGGTAAGAAAGTAAATTTAAGTTAGCTTACGTAAATTACTTCTCTGCTTAAAGAAATGTTGAACATGTATAAATGTATTGTGTACAATATAAATTTCATTACAGTAATTTGTTTTTAATCTTTCAGTACCTGCAGTTGAAGTATTGGGATCTATATTTAATACATAGTACTGTATTTGATATTTATATTTGTTAAAGTACCCTTAATTGAATAGAAATTTTATAGACATCAGGTTTAATCGATAAGATTTGATAAAAGGAAGAAACTGCTGATAGGAGTAGGGAATGCATATTTTGTGGTGTACTGTATGAAAGTTCAAAAGGAGCACTGTTTACCTGGTCTCCTGTGGTGCTTCTGCTCTGTTGAAGATGGTTGCTGGAGTGTGGTGTAAGTGCTTACCCATGATGCTATATGGTAGATGAATATAATGATGAATGTAATGAATGGTACAGTGCTGCTTATCCAAACCCTGAAAGTCGGAGACGGTAACGATAATGGATGGTTATTCAATTTTCTTTTTTTTCTTGTTTAGGAAATTTGATAATTTATTTATAACATTGTTGTAACTTATTCTACTGTGCTTAGCTAATTTAGTTTCAAGCAGAGTTTACTATGTTGTTGCAGGCCATACCAGTGTGCTCAACTCAACCAACTGTGATAGCAGCATATGAACTCCTAGTCACTCTATGTACAGGCTGTGTTCCCAACCTCAAACTTTTAGCAGAAATGCTCACAAATATGTATTATTCAGGTAATGTTATAACATAATTACTGTTCATGGTTTTCACATTTTTAATTTTATTTTTGCCATTGTTGATACACTCCTTTATGTAGTAATCTCGTGTTGCCATCCTATATTTGCCCGAGTACATCATCTTAAAAAAAAAGAGTTCCTCAGTGTTCTGTAATTATAACATTGGAATTTTGCTTACTACTAATGCAAGACAAGCAGTTAACATGTTGAAAACACAATGCAACATAATTTTCATGTATTTTTCTGGTGGTGATGGTATTCCTCAAGGTTTAAATGTAATTAAGTTACTGAACCAAAGTGCAAAGTTTTCATCTTTTTGGGGTGGGGGGGCTTACCTACCTAGTGTAGCTTACGGGGATCAACGGCCCCACGGCCCGGTCTTCGATCTAGCTTTGAACCATTTATAGTACTGAATTGCTGTAATTAGCTTGTTTCATTAAAATGTCATTGTATGTATTATAAATTCTAATAAAAAACCAATGTTAATACTAAAATATACATGTTAATTGACCATTGTTACTTACAGATTGTGATGAAAGCATTGGGGAATGGGAATACCTTCCTCCAGTCGGCCCTCGGCCTGTGAAAGGGTTTGTAGGGCTGAAAAATGCTGGGGCCACTTGTTACATGAATTCTGTCCTACAGCAGCTCTATATGATAAGACAAATAAGGTATCGTATGTGTTCCATTTGATTTTAAAGAAAGTCATCATACACTCTGGAATACTAACAGAAAATAGAAGTTTCTAATCTGATATATAATTTATTTAGGCAAAACATAGTAAAAATAAAAACAATAAAAACTGAAAATAGGTCATTGCTACTCGTGTATTATTGACAGGTGACAGTTATAAATAATCCAGTCCCCACATGTGAAAATAGTGGACAGTGAGGATAATTTGATAAGCCCTGGATTCTTATCAAGTTGCAACTTTCTTTTATTATGTGGGGATTGGTTATTTATTTTCAGTCACTTTAGTGTGACTTACTCTCTGCATAATAATTAGTTTTGATAAATATTTTTCACGTCAGGCATGGTGTATTACTAGTAGAAGGTGCAGCAACAGATCCCGAGGAAGACTTCAGCGGAGAAGAGAGAATGGAGCAAGAGGTAGGCATATCTTTAATGTTACTTTATAGTTTAATCGTGCATTTGTCATTACTCGGCACAACAATAAAATATCAAGTTACGTGAAGGGTATCAAGGGTATCATTTAAGAGTGCCATGAGGTCTTTTGCCATCAAGTAAAATGGCAATGTAGCTTGAACAAAAAATGAGTTGACACTTCATGTATTGGGCAACGTATATTCAATCGTTCCACTGCAAAGTTATTTCATTTTAATACTTATTTAATAAGAGTTTCTTAGGTACTATTTTTTGTCTGTTCTAGAGTGATGGCGCTCAATCGTCATGCTCTCAGTGTTGTAAATTTGTTAGGTATACCTGCAACAGTAACTATGTGGTCATTCTCTAGACCTCTCTCTTATTTCATATAGATTCAACAAGGTAATAGTTTTCACTCATCACTGGGCATGTGCTTTTCACAGCTAGTTCAATGGTCCTTTTCCCACGGAATGTGTTTCATCTTTATATTGATAAGGGTGTGCTTAAAATGCAATTGACAGCAAATGATGATTCTCTCACCGTACTTATTGGACTCTTCAATTATAGCTGTTTTGGGCATTTATGTGCAACTTGCTTTGATAAGACATTTGAATGTATAATTTAAGTTGGAGAAGGATTTCTACCTCGGACATTGGAGGGGAGGAGTTCTAAGAAAGAATTTCTGTATCAAGAGGTTATATTAGGTGATGAAACCCTCATCCCTGCACTCTCCAGGGCCCCTCACACTATGTTCTCATGTTTTTGTGACTTCATTGTATACAATATTAAAGAACAGATGAAATTCACTCCATAAATAATACATTTGATATTCCTTAGACTAATCTTGATGGAAATGAGGATGATGCAATGAGCAGCAGTTCAAATGAGGAAAGCAGAAAAGAATACCACATAGGAATTCTCAAGCAGGTGCAGGCCATCTTTGCACATTTAGCTTGCTCTAAACTTCAGTACTATGTTCCCAGAGGTCTCTGGAAACATTTCAAGTAAGTAAACATTTATGTGTTATGAGCATAACTACCTTCATAATTATCTACCACCACTACCTTTGTCACCATTATTATAATATAATTCCATTGTCACCATTATTATAATATAATTCCATTGTCACCATCTATGACATCTTCCCAGCCTTGTATCCATTTTCTGTCGATAAATCCAACGCAAAATGTATAATCGTCAAATATATTCTTCCTCCATTTTTATTTAATTAATAAAATGTATTGTTCTTTGAAAGGCCATTGAAAGAAATTAGATATTAAAAAGTTTAGGTGTTATAGTACTGTACTGAATTCATTATATAAAAATAAAATTGACCAAGTAGCTCAATATATGGCCATAGATGTTCCCATTGTCTTGAACAATCTTCATAAATACAATTAATAAGTAAACTCTCAATGGACTTTGCTGTATTTTACGACAAAAGTACATACAAAGTTTTACCCTATTTTATTTCTGTAGATTTCTTACTCTTGTTTTTTGTTTAATATCTCTTAATTGTTTGCACTATTCATATTTATCAGTCATTATAGTAAGTGATGGACAAGTTTTCAACAGGAATAGAGTATTACTGGCAGGTTAAAGTCTACCTCACGGGGTGATTTCATCTTGTTCGAAAAACTGCTGCAGCTATAAATCCCAAGTGTGTTTTTGAATGCCAGATGTGTATTCAAATATTACACGTTGTATAAACTTATTTAAAAGGACTTGAGTATAATGTTATTTTAGAAATAAACTTAGTACTATTTTCCAATTATCTAAGGCTTAAATGTATAGTAACTAAGTATTGTAGTTACCAGGAATTTTTCCATATCTGAACAGGTATTGAATTCAATTGTCATTTTACTAATGATATTTTGCTTCTTCACAATCCAGCAAAATAAACGTTAGCCAAGCTAATTTTGTTGCTTTCCGTAAACAGATTACAAGGAGAGCCTGTGAACTTGCGGGAGCAACACGATGCCTGTGAATTCTACAATATTTTGGTCGAGAGCTTAAATGAAGCGCTCAAAGCTCTAGGACATGACCAAATAATGAACAAGATTCTTGGTGGTTCCTATTCTGACCAGAAGATCTGCAAGACTTGTCCTCACAGGTATTGCCATAGTTATAATGCCTGTTGGTGTATGTGATTACCTGGGTTATGAGATCTATTGGTTGTGATGCCTGTTCTTCTCTTATGTATGTCATGTGAAATTTTGAAACTCTAGATGGCTGTTGCATAATCTACATAAATTTATTCCATCTGTCTCCACTCTATTTGCAAATCAAAAGGAGACCTCGATGTTGTGAATTTAGAAAAGATGTTCATTTTCTCTATGGTTGTCTCTATTTTGTATGTGATGGTGGTGGTATTTTTGTTGTTGTTGTTTTCACTCGTTTTGTCATCCAGTTGGATTCCATTATCCAGATCCCTAGTTTTCTGTATGCACAGGTTAACCAAAGTAGAAATGCCCGGTTTTCTATCTCTGTTCATCAGAGAACTTCAGTTAAAGGGATCCACCCAGATTAGCCGTGACATGTCCGCATCATCCAGGGGGGCGGGTGACTTTACCGAACCAAAATATCATACCCAAATTATCTCTGTAAACAAAGTAAAATTTTGAAGGAGTACATAGTTTATTAATGCAAACATCCATAAATGGAATACCAAATTTGTATGTGACTTAGTGGCATTATCACAAGAATGACTGAATCTGGCATCAACTGCTTGCCACCAGTTCTTGCAAACTTGTTGCTGCCTGTTTACATCTACTCTGGCCACATTTAATGCTGTTTCCTCCCAATGAAAGATAGCAAAAATAGAATGTCTTACCATGACGGTTAATGAATATTTTTTTGTGTATATGCCATTTAAAAAGAGGGCCATTTTTGGCCCTCTTTACTGGTATGCTTGTAAATTATTTACAGTCCTTTGGTGTTTGCTGGTTTATCTAGCAGTAATTTAGGACATCATAATCGATTGATGGGTCATGTCCAAGGAAAGTTAATAGGATAAGGTATAACATGAGCTATGGAAAGGGAATGATCTAAGCCTGCTAACAAGTCAAAATCCTTCTTTTATACCCACCTGGGGGAGGGGATGGAAAGGGGGGAGTATTATTGGTGGTAGTGATGGGTGAGAATGGCAGGTGGTGAGGGAAGGGCACATCTGCTGCTGCCACTATCATATAATCTATCAATTTATACTAAAGTAGTATGAAGTCAAATTAATGACAGTTTTGTAATGCTATGAGCTATATGTTACAGCAAATTTGCATGTCATTTGTAGGTGAAGCACACTGGTGTAGGTGAGGGAGGCAGTATTTAATGTCGTCTGGTGGTCGTGTTGTATCATATCATCTTCACACAGATTTTCTTTATTCTAACCTTGTTAGTGTTGTGCCATCCTACGTAACAGGAAAGTTGGGGGAAGTAAAATGCTTTTTATTTTGAGAATCAGCATGGCGCGTAAATTTGTGTGTACCGGATTGCTGGTGATGAGTTAGTAGGTGACAGTTGCTGCCTGCCAGCCACTATAGGCAGCACACCACCACTGGCTTTCATATCGTTATACAACTTGTTCACACTATAATTTATCATAAATGCCCAGTTCTCTGATACCACGAGCAATAAATATTTTACATTTGCTGTTATTAAGATATCAACTGCTTGGTGTTTTGAGAATTCTTTTGGGCCAAATAATTCTACGTACAGTATACTATCTTGCCCTTAAGTGAAGGATTGAAAAACTGGCTTAATGTGAAAGTTGACGAAGGAAATATGGAAAAAGATAGCAGTTCAGCAGTGGTGGTGTAATAAGATGCCTTAAGCTTCCTCGCTTCCTTACTTGACCCTCTTTATGAACTTTTCTTCAGTTTTTGTTGTGTGGGTCGATTATGAACCAAGCGGAGGTTCCATCACAACACCTGCAGCAGACACGGGAGGAAATAAATCTGTTCAATGCATAGGACTGGAATTTCATACTGAATTTACCTTTCAAGTTGTAAAAAGCAGGTGCTGACATGTGCATCACTGGCAACAAAACACAAGACCCAACCTGCTATGGTGTGAGGTGTGACGTCAGCAAAAATACCAGACTCTAAATGCCATTCACAAAGTAGTGTCCCTTTACCCATTTTAGTAGGAACTGAGAAGGAAACAAAATTACTACTAACTACTGCACTCCCTACTACAGGTCTTATCTAGTGACCAATACCCAAGACACCACCCAAGATAGAGGACACAAATCAAGTCTGCCCTAAGAAGTAACCTATCAGCTTTGGAGAAGATGATTTTTAATAATAATTCTCGTTGTCAGGGACACGAAGCTTGTACTTGGGCTTATCGGTGTCCCTATAGGTCAACTATTGACCTTCCCTAGGATGAAGCTCACAATGGTTGTCTAACTCCCCGGTATCTGTTTTACTGCTAGGTAAATAGAGGTATCAGATAAAAGGAAATGTTCCCAATCAATTCTGTAAATGGGAGGATGGATTGGTTTTGGCATATTAATCAATTGGGTCAGTATTTTTTCTTCTAAGGACACATTTGTCTTCCTTTTCATTCTATTTTGCTGTGCATTCTACATAGGTTTTTGCAGCCTTAAGCACAGCCGATTTAATTGCTGTTCTTACGTAGGCACCTTTGGTTACTTCTGTACAGGTTTTCTAGGCATTTTTAGTATCATTTTGCCAATTGCATTTTCTTGGTTTGTCCTGGGTCTCTTTTCACCTCTTTCTTCCTTAGCGTCCTCACCTTCTCCTGTAGTATTGCTTTAGTTTATTCCTTCCTCTGTTTTCATCCCCGATTTGTTCTGATTGTTCTAATCTTTTGTTCCCGCTTTCTCACCCCCCCCATGAACAGCGCCTTGACGTGGCGGGGGGGCTTGAGCTACTCCCTTGACCCAGAGGGCAGTTGAGTGTGGCTTATGAAGCCCCTCTTCTGGTTGAAGGAGAGGAGTCAGACCAAGCTGTTCATTGTAGCTTCGTGCCATCCATGTGCACGCTGTGCACGGTGACGTGGTGGGACCCCTGGAAAAATCAGTTGGCTAGTAAAATCTGGCCAGGGTCAAATGAACATTAGAAGGTTGGCATCCCTGTTGGTCCCAGGGGTGTCATCAAACACACTAATATTTATCCATGGAGTGCAGGGATGAGTCTGGTTTAATGAAGACCCTTGGAAATTGTTGCTTCTCCCACTGAGGCTTGTGTGGTATATGGTCAGGTCCGCAGCTCTTGTTCCCCCTGGAAGATTCCCTATGGACAATCCTTACAATCATGCTGGGTAATGGAGCCCAGTTCCTTGCAGTTGAACCCCTCCTGCTGTGCTGAATTCACAAGCTTACATTCATGGTGCAGTCAAAGAACCCTCCATTTAAGTACTGGAAATTCAAGATGAGCATCATGGCAAATGCATATAAGATTGTTTAGGCTGTGTGTGTGTGAAATGCAGTAGGTGCTTTGTAACCTGATCAACCGGTAACATGAGATAACCTATTTCTACTAGGTCTGGTAACCCAAATGGCACTGTGACTAGCTGAACGAGTGGCTAGACTGGTTGGGGCTAACTAACAAAAAATGGAAAATTGGACATGCCAAAATGTAAAAAAAGAACTCCAGGGAAATTATGCAACTATTTCCTTAAGCAGAAAAGGAACTTTTAAAAGTACATTACTGTACTGATGCGTTCACTTGCAACAAGAGTAGTATTGCACTTGAAATAGTCTAGCATTGCAATTGGAAAAGACTAAGCTTTGAGGACAGGTTAAAGAAAACATTGTATGAGAGGGAGGAGGAAGTAAAGAAGAAAAGGATCATAGTTGATATGAGCAATATGAAGGAAGTAAAAAGAAGAATATATAAGATGGGCAAGGATAGTCTGTTTAAATTGAAAGAATGTAGGACAAGTCATCATTGGAAGCCAGAAATGTAAAGGAGTCGGATATATATGGCAGCGCAGGTAAGCTACTTATGCAGGTGGTCAACAAGGGGCATGCACTGGAAGAACAAGTTGGGAACAAATACGATAAGTCGATCATCAAGAGATAAGTTGCATCAGGTGCAAGTAGCTAGGTGGCAGCGCTGTAGAGCTAGACCACACTTCCTCTAGTGACCAATAGGTAAACAATATTACTCTCTCCATCCACACAATTTAAATCTTAAACACTATGATTTGAGTGTTTGAGTCTTGGTCACATTAAATTTATTACTGCACCAATTGTTTTACTACATCTTTGGGCCAAGATTGTTGTTATTCTGCTGCTCACCTGCTGGTAGAGGTTATGCATATACAAACATTACCTCCTGCTCTTGTCATTAAGTTACACACAAATGCTAAATGGAAACTCTTGTACATTTATCTTTTCATTTTTGATATTATTGTATACAGTATTAGAAAAATGATTGCAAGTGTTTTTTATGCTGCATTCAGTACACCCTCCAAAATCTGGACCTATTTGTAATGCCATTAAACAATATATTAAATCTGACCACTGGGGTTTTATTATTATTATTATTATTATTATTATTATTATTATTATTATTATATAAAGTTCACATTTGTTTGGGTAAAAATGGAATCTGAAGGGAGATAGGATTAAATCTTGAACATCAGTTTGCCGTATAAAATATTTTCTGTCTCATATTTTTTTTGTACAGGCTCATTTGGTAAGAGTCCTTGTACCATAGATTAGTAAATGGTTATTAGAGAAATGGGTGTGGCTTGGGAGGTATGTGGCAGGCAGAAGAATGTAGCTGGGGAGGTATATGGCTGGCAGAATAGTGCTGTACGGCATTGGCACTTAAACTGTTTGACAAAGGGAGGAGATCCTTGATTTTGGGAGTTAAGGTGAGAGTAGTGACAAATAATGGTTTGTGCAGGAGTGTTACTGGGAGCTGGCTGCTGCTATAGTGTACATAGTCAGCAGCTGAAGGAATGGTACGAACCATGGGCATTGATAATGTCAAGGGCAGTTCAGAGTGGCTGCAAAAGGTTAACAGATGACATAGTACTGTAACTGCTTTTTGGTGCCTGTTGCTTACCAAGACCAATCATTCTGCAAAATAGCCAAGTTCAAAGTTATTTCAAATTTCATTAATTTTTATTTAAATGCACACAGTTTTAAATATTTGTGTGTAGTCAAAGAAGAACAAGTATTAATAAAGAAATCAGGATTTCACACAAGTCCACACAAAGTACAGAACATTTTAAAAGATTTTGGACGGTTCACTGTATAACGTAACGTAAAAAATTTAATAACCTAAGTTTCCGTATATCCTGAATTAGATTAGCAAGTATCCGCTGGCTGTATGCAATTATTCAAATACGTGGAATTTTAGAATAACAGGCATTTACATTGTATCAACACGATTCAGTCCCAGGAGCTAATGGATAACTCTTTTTACTCAGTAGCTCCCCTGTGTATTGGCCCTGGTACCAGATACCTCCACAAAACTACCGTACCCCCTGGATACGACCACTCCTAATGAAGACCAGGGGCCAAGTTCACGAAGCAGTTATGAAAGTACAGTACTTACGAACATGTACATCTTTCCTCAATCTTTGACGGCTTTGGTTACATTTATTAAACAGTTTACAAGCACGAAAACTTCTATCAGCTGTTGTTGTTGTTACAAACAGCCTCCTGGTGCTTTGGAGCTCATTAACTGTTAAATAATTGTAAACAAAGCCGCCAAAGATTGAGAAAAGATGTACAGGGTTGTAAGTGCTTGCGTAACTGCTTCGTGAATTTGGTCCCAGGAGTAGCTGTGCTCAGAGGTGATGGAAGCGTAGGAATCTGAGATCAAACTCAAAATTTTGTTTCCATTTTGCTCTATAATCAAGATACGTTTGTTTTGCTTACTTTGTACTTTCTGGCCGAGCTTTACCCAGTTACGAAGGTGGCCTTGGATCCTGATGTTTCTATTTACACACCAGATTCTGGTCTCAGTGTTTGATAGGCCTACACAAGTCCAGGAGCCCCTGGTAGTTTCGTGTTTGTGGTACTAGAATCAATGGTCTGTGAAGCTATTGAGGTTGCCAAAAAATTGGCATTTGTTTACATTTAATGATTGTTTTAAAACCATTGTTGCTGTTAATATGTGGTTAAAATTGGGGATGGCCTACTACCTGTGACGTAAGACACTGGGACAGTTGCCAGTGTGTATCAGCTTTCATACATAATAGTTCTGTTGGTCCAAATACTTTCCTTATAGGGCGAATAATTTGCTGGACTGAAATATGATTATATGCAGATTTTCCTTAATCTTGCATTAGTAAGGCTCATTCTACTACAGTACAACTGTACAGTACTGTACAGTACTTGGTTTTTGGCCAGAAAGCTGGATTGTTTTTTTTTTTTTTTTTTTTTTTTTTTGCATCTTGGAGAACTCATACACAGCTTTGAGTTTAATTTCCCAGTGGCTTGTATCATCATCCATGTCTACAAAAGCTGCTTGAAAAAGTTCCGTGTGGCACCATTGGCTAGTATGTCATCTGCCCAGCTGTTACAATTATTGTCCAGACGACAAGTTAATTGTAATTGAATGTGTTTGCTTCAACATCCCAGTCAAGTGAATACAATATGCAATTTTGTTTTAATGGAGTTAAAATGTTATTACTATTGTATCTGATCTTGCAACCAAAATGGGATCATTTTGTTGCATTTTAAGCGACTGTAGATTGGATTGTTTGAAAAATTGTGTATTTTGACTTTTACCAGTTTAGATCATTATTTTAGCAGTCTGGTCAGATCGGTGATACTGTTTTGATAGCTGGCTCTGTTGTGGCACTGTGTATGCAACAAATAGCATAAATGATGCCACTTGCATTGAAATTCTCATTACTGAATCTTAGCTTGGTCCTGGACATCTTGGAAATTGCTTTTTCCTGTAAGTAGAACCTAAAATACAAATTTTAAAATTTTAGTGAATATTTAAATACTGTATATTTATAAAATATCCTTTACCCTTCCATAGGTACTCGAGAGAGGAAACTTTTACTGTCATCAGTATAGACATCCGGAACTACAGCAACCTTTACGATTCCCTAGAGCAGTACGTGAAGGGCGATCTCTTGGAGGGGGATAATGCGTATCTCTGTGAAAAGTGTGACAAAAAGGCAAGTTGATTGTGTTTTCTTGGTGGTTAGGTGAGGCTGTGTATTTGCACAATATTTGTTGTCTACTTGTAAATACCCAGTTAGTTGAGGAGAGTAGTAAGTGGTACATTGATGTAGAGAAATGATTAGACTACATTTTAGATAACATTTGACCTATAAAGGCTTTGTCAGATATGAGATGCACAAGACTGCTGCTTGTAAAGTCGGTTCCTAATTTGTTATCCTGATACCCAGAAACAGGGCTGGGGATACCAGGCATGTTGTTAGTCAATAACACTTAATAACACAAAATACAGTACTGTACAAGGAAAATACTTTGCCAAGGTAGTGAGTGGAGTAACTGTGGGAGACCTGATATACTGCACCAGTTGAGCTTTAAATGACACTTGAAAATTATGCTTGAAGGCTTTGCTCAAGTTTATTTGTAGCTGAATCTGCAACAGACCTAATTACTTTCAACTACATTTGCATTGACTTACGATTTTATGAAAGGTTATGTACAGGGCATCTCGATCATAACTCTTGTAAAACCTTATTATTGTCTGGTACATCATTTGCTGTGTGTTTTCTTCCTGGTTCTTGTCATTTTAATGTTTTTAGAAGTAATTTGAATGTCATGCATGCAAGTTCCGGTACTCTGCACAGATGCAGACCTTGGGCTGCTCATATCTCTCTCCTCCTCGTCTCCGTTGCATTCTAGTTTACCACTTTAAATGTATTCCACATCCCAACACAGCATTCTGAATTTTGTGTGGAGTTTGTAAACTTATGTGGAGGTGTGCATGCTGAAAGATAATAGACCTGGTGGTTGGTGTGTTAAACCTGTTAAAAGGAACAAATGCTGCCCTGGAGGGGCGCTAAGGGGCATCCTTAATGTTGTTTAATGGATTGGACGAAATCCAATATATAAATATATTTATTTATTTATTTTATTTGTATTTAAAAAGATCCATTTTCCATCAGTACTTCCATTCACTAACAGTTAGGTGGATGAATATTAAATGGTGAGAATGCCTTTAATGACTAAGGGGTTTGTGATTAATGTGGTGCTAATGTGAACATGATTGGTTTTGTTGGTTGAAGAAAAGTGCAAGATCATTCAACAGCTGATATATCTATGGATGAGATGAATGTTCAATGTGTTATTAGTACATATGAATGTACTAATTAGTCATTTTTGTTAAGAAAGTTGGTGAGAAGCCTCTTTGTCAGGCACAATATTTACCTTATAACCTCTTAAGTGTTTTTGCTTCACTTCACAGGTAGACACGGTTAAGCGAATATGCTTGAAGAAGCTTCCACCAATTATGGCAATACAGCTGAAGAGATTTGACTATGACTGGGAAAGAGAGTGCTCAATTAAATTCAACGACTACTTTGAATTTCCCCGAGAGTTAGATATGGACCCTTATACAGGTGAATTATAATTGCATTTAGATTTGGTGGTTTTCTTGCATGCAGGGGAACCACCGATGATATTTACCCTGTATTTATATGGAACATGCTTTGACCTTTCCTATAAGAGGTAACATTGGTTTGAGGTTGTTACTAGATTTACCAAGTAAAGTGTGTACATCTTATAGCAGGATAGTGAATTAATGAGAAAGGGAGTGAGTAAGTTTGTAAGGTGCATTTGGCCTTGATAAACTTGGAGAAAATATGCCAGTTCTAATAAATTTTGTTAGGAAGTTGTTCATGGGGTAAGGTAATGGTTGAATGAGTTCACTTGTTTAATCTTAGTGCACAGTAGGTGTGTCATGGGTAGGCTAAGGATATTGGTGATGTGTGTAAACATGGTGACAGATGTCATGTATGTAAAAATGAGAATAGTTTTAATATTTCATTGTGAAGGATGCAGAGATTGTGTGTAAACAGAATTATGGTGTTCATGTGTAATTGATGTGAATGTAGATGTGATAAATCAGTTTAAATACTGGAAGTGTGTGGTTGACAAAAAGGAGTCTTTGTATAACAGATTAAAATCAGAATGTGTTGGGGGGGGGGGGGGGGGGGGAGGACAGTGGCTTGTGTAGTGGAAGCCTGGGTTAGAAAAACTTGGCAAATATTTCATGCAGATGCTAATTTTATTTATTTATTTATTTTTTGTACATTATTTCATAGTGCAATCCTGTTATGGCAGCTTCACTTTATGATGGCAAAACCAGAATGTAAAACATTCTTTAAGAGAAATGACAATTGATATGTCGCTTAATATTTAAAATAATTTTGTGGCCGTCAAACATTGTGCCGCTGCCAACTTCATCTGCACTTCAAGAATGGCAAGCTTTCCAGAGGAAACAATGCATCAGTTTTAAAATAGTTAATTTTTTATCATGTGAATTAATTTTACTCCTCACAATTTGGTTTAGACTTCACATTTGAAGTTAGAAAAATGTTAACAAAATATGACTACTGTACTGTATATAATTTCTTTGTTTTAGTTGCTGGATTGGCAAGAAATGGGGAGCTAATAGATTATGACCCAGAGGATATGAAGACTGTAGTATGCAGCAAGTACAAGTTGACTGGCATCGTAGTTCACAGTGGCCAGGCCAGCGGTGGCCACTATTACTCTTATATTCTACACAGGTAATATTCTACTAGAGTAATTCATTGTCATTTTTTATTAATATGTATTTAAAGACTTTGTAATAATTGGATTTCCCTTTTAAGGGTTCACTAAACAAATCAAATCTGCCCACCAGCTTTCCCCTCTGGAAGTTCATATTTATTAACACTTTAGCTAACACTGTGGTGTTAGAAAGGCAAAATACCAAACTCTTGGCAGTGGATTCAGATTGGAAAATTATATTTTAGAAAGGATATAAGGGTGTGATGATTTTGATGGAGTTGACTGAACAGAGCATTCTGCAAAAATAAAAAGATACAAATAAGATAATTTGTTAATGGAGCTCGGAAGCGTTTCACATAGGCTGTTGGGCCTAGTGTGTTCTTTCGTTAAAAAGAGTGAAATATCCTTCGTTTTAATATTAACTAAATTCAGTAAATATTCTGGACTGTAATTTATATTTTGAAATAAGTGGCTAAACATATGTTGCTGTTTTCTAACTTTGGATTAATTGATGTCTTGTCTCCCAGGAATGGAAATGATCAGCGGTGGTACAAGTTTGATGATGGAGAAGTAAGTGAATGCAAAATGGATGATGAAGATGAAATGAAAAATCAGTGTTTTGGAGGAGAATATATGGGCGAGGTAAGACTGGAATTTTGTACAAGTTGCTCTAATTCATGTAACAGGATTAAAGTAAGATTTGATTCCATTAATGTACTGAAATATTATACCATTGAACCATAGGTGTAAGGTACTCTTGTACAGCACCGATCTTGAAAATACAGATCAATTGTATTAACTTGATATTTCCTTAGCAGATGCTCTAGAGGATGTGAAATATTAATTCTTTATTTGCAATGTATATTTGTGTATATTAAAAGGTTTAATTACTCTAGAGGCTTTCAATATCTGCTCGAAAGTCATTTAAATTGTGTAAATAAGAAATCATGTAGAAAACTAATGGTAATTTTTCCCTATCAGCAAGTTTTTGACAACATCATGAAGAGAGTGAGCTATCGACGACAGAAGCGTTGGTGGAACGCCTACCTACTCTTCTACACCCGGCTAGATGTCGAGGAGGATAATCTCAGTAACTCGATGAGTGAACTTACTTTAGGTGAGACTTGTCACATAATTAAAATTATGAAACCCTTGTAGGAATATCTTGTGGTGGTTTTGACATTCTTATTTTGTTTACTTCCAGTAGGTTTCTATTCGATGCATTACTGTTAATTCAACACATTCTCTCGCCTAATACGTCACATTTTGTAAGACATTGATTATTCCATTAAAAATGCGACATATTAGTACAAATAAAAGCAACGTAAGATTGGCGTTTTCCATGCGTTGGCCTCGATATGTTTGGTACGTTGCTTGGTTTTGTATGTTTCAGGTTAGGCAAAACAGTAGAGTTGTTAATGTGACAACTCCAGAGAATGGGCTAGTATATCTGGCACTGTAACCCAATGGTTTGTAACCCATTGTCGGGGGTCAGAATGTCACACTGATCCCTCTTGAATTCTGGCAACCATGACCATGCTATGTCCATGTCGTACTCCAGACCAGTCACCCTGCAAAGTTGGGTGAGGCTAGCCTCAAGTGTCTGGCCTCCAGTCTTGGAAAAGGCAGACACACACACATTATCAAAGATATAAATTGATTTGTTGCTTCATTGGAAATGCTCTAAATTTTTAATAATTTGCCTGTGTTTATAAGTGTTTTCTGGTGTATAGAACTATCTCGGCTCATGCTTCCAACAAGGCATTATGCTGATGAAATGTTCAGTATGCTTAGAAATGTGCAAATGCCTACCCTAGAGATATTATTATTGGTGTGAAAGGTTGAAATTATAATTCACATACTATACTGTATTCACTCGGACTCAGTAAAGTATATTTTCCATGGCAGTTCCACACGGTTCCATCATAATGATGTGCCAAGACAAATAGTCATAGACTACATATTTAAATATTTGTTACCAAGTTTATTTAAAATGTTCTCTTTTTTTTTCTTTACAGCAGAACGGCCAGGGTTAATAAAAATGCCAAGTGCTATTGACCGTTCGGTAGTACGGCAAAATGTGCGATTCATGCACTCCCGCTCCCAGTTCTCTCCAGAGTACTTTCAGTTCCTCAAGAAGCTTATAATGACAAATCATACCTTTGTCCTCCAACCCCCACAAGATCGGGTAAGTATTCATTACTGTGCTTGTAAAGAAACACAGCGTAACTGGCATGGAGGCGGAGTGGAAAAAAGGTTTCAAATGGTGTCCCATGTCTGTCCTGGGACCTCTCTTGCTTACCATATGTATGTATATACTGTATGTATATAAAGCAATTTAGACAGTATTGAAAAGCGAATTTGCTTTTGAATTTAGGAATTTGCAGATGATGCAAAAATAGTAAGAAAAATTAATGATGGAGGGGGGCGAATCAGAATCACTTCGACTATTTAGAATTGAGGAATGCTTGGCAGATGCAGTTTAATGCTGGCAGATATAAGGTTTTGAATCAAGGTAATAATAGTTACCAGAAATTTGTTGAACGATATTGAAATTGCAAAATCTGAATGGTTGAATGGGTATGTCAGATGGGGATATTAATGGTATTAAATACGTCAACACAATGGCATGTTTAAATTATATGAATTTAGATTTGGAGATAGCTTCTCTATAGCCAAATAGTTTGGAAATTGTTGATTTTAGGAACAGATTATAGCGTAGCATAACGCTATATGCGTTATGCTACGCATTTTATTGTATGGGTGTTGGAAATATAGATTAGACAAAAAGTATGAAAATTACTTCTGTAAAAAACACAAGAAAAATTAAGTTGTCTTCAGTTGGTCAACAGAAAATATAATGTTTTAACAGCATTAAGTTCCAGGTACTTTGGTATGGTAGAAATAAAGAATTTAAATGAAATGCAGGGGCCAAGACATAATCAGGTCTACTTATACAAGGGAAAACAACCTTTATTGTTGTCCAGGTCCCAAATTTGTACAGTAAAATATTATCATCCTGGAGCAAAATCTACAGGAGGAAATGTAGTATAGAATAGAGAATTGGGTATACAGTAGGATCTACCACACAGGACAGTTGGCTTTCTGCAGTTAACTGGGTTCTTGGGTTCTTATGTACTGCTATATTTGATACAAATTTTGAGGACTGCTAATAGATAATGTAAGAGAATGGGTTATACACATCACATTCAGAATAAATATAAATGTAGGTAAACACATAAGCATAAAGGAAACTACAGAAGACGTTTTAGCTCATACAAAGCAGCACCTTTTTATATCCACCCAAATTCATTCATATTTTTGTTGAACCTCTGCTTGAAGTACTCCCTTGAGCCCACATCTATTATGATACCCAAAAAAAATTTCCATGAATCTTCAACCCTGTTTCCAGTCCATTATTTACTGGAGTGTTTCTAAAATCTCAACTTTACCAATTATCAAATTGTTCTTTCCAGGTTGCAGAAAGTGAGGAGATTGCCATGATCAGTACTCAGCTGTGCAGCAAGTTCCTCTTCTCAGTAGGTCTACATACTAAAAAGACTTTGCGGGGCCCAGCACCGGAGTGGTACGATGCGCTACAGGTAAAGGACCTGGATGCACTTGTGTGTTTTGCTAAAGTATCATTACTATTTTAGTTCATGGATGTGCTTAAAAAGATATTTCTGTGGGCCTACTTATATAAATCCTACTTCCTATGGCAAATGAGATTTATCACGAGACCCACCTTCAGTCTACTGGCCACATGATGTATTAATTAGGCACACTACTGTATCCTCAGTAAGGATAATGTATAGCTTTCAATGTTTAAAAAAAAAAGTGTCCATATAATTTCTGTAAAATGCTGTTGTGTATGAGCTTCAAAGTTCTAATAATTACATTTGGTGGTGGTGTAAGAATGAACCATATTACTGGGCTAGGTAGCCCTTTGCTGGCAGACATTTGAATCATTTTAATGCTCATTGGAGGGGGTGAGGATAAGTGCCGGCTGTAAGAATAGTTCAACATTATTCACATTTGGAAGGTTATTCTTAGAACTATTCCTTAAAGCATATATGCCTCCAAAATCATAATATTTAGTCTTTAAAGTTTCATTAAGAAATTTGCCAACCAATGATCAGTTACTGTATCTTGGAGTCGTAAATTTGAAGCAAACTTAAATTTGCATCAAAATTAAGCATTGTGTTAAGTGTTGTATAAATATTATTACAGTATTTATTTTCAGCCATAAAGGTAAACTTGTGCAAACATTTTGAGATATCCAGCACTTTCCCTTACTGTAATCTGACCTTTCACTCCTTGCCTCATTCCCTCCCTTCCATTACTACCACATTCTGTATTCGCTGCAATATAATCTGCCGCAGTTCTAAGCCTGTGGGTAAGTTTTGGCGAGTAAGATAATATTCATATTCACAATCCAAACACACACGTGATGAGTCGTCATATAGCGAGTGCTGGCATAAAAAAAAGGGGCCTCTGTGCCTTATATAATTCTTCGTAAAAGTTATGAAGGTTTTTATGTACCTTGTGTTCAGAACCTTTGGCTTTGAGAATGGCCATATGGATTTATAAGACAATACAGAAAAAGATGAATGTACTGTAGATCAGGTCATTATTTACATTTGAAGTTGTTGTAACATAATGTATTTTTCTCCCCTCCTTTTTTTTATTAAACAGGTCCATTTAAGGGCATCAGTCCATACACGCGCGTGGTTTGCACAGCATGTATTATTTACTCAGCCACACCGCTTTATGGAATATCTACTAGAATGCCCTGCACCTGAAGTTCGGATGGTATTTAGCAAGCTAATAGTCTTGGTGGGTCATTGTGCTCGTAATGACCCACCTCAGCCATTAGGATGGGGACCTTTGAAGCATCATCCAGGTAGAGTACACTGTTTATCGTTGAATAAATACTATGTCTGCCATTTTGCTAATTTGTTTTCTAGTTTGTCTCTGGTTAGCATTTACATTGAAGTTTGTGCCTTAAAATTCCTCTTTTTTTTTTTTTTCTTTTTTCTCTATGCAGTAAAATGTCAATTCAACGAAACTATATGGGACCAACCCAAATTTTTTACAGTGAGGGATTCATTGCAACTGGAGGTACCTCCAGGATGCATTTTTCCACACCCTCTGGGCTGATTCCACTTTGTGAAATTTAATTTCACCCTATAATAGACAACTACCAAATCAACATGTCTGCAAAAACTTAACCACATCTAGCTTATTTGTTGTTTCCAGCCTCAAAATTATTTTTAAAAGGAAGCAGGGCCATACCCAAGTGAATGAAATCCTTGCCAACTCGTTAAAAATAAACCATAGAATTGGGTTTTAAATATCTTCAATAGCTTCCCCAAGGCTCCAGCCGTTTCTTGTAATGTCAAGTCCATCTACGAAAATCATCAAAACCGTGATTGGAGCTGTTAAAATTAATAACACTTTCGCGCTCTCCGCGAAGGTCATCGAAACAACCGTAAGTGCTCACAGCGTTTTGCCGCGTAAGCGTAAAAACAAAAATGTGTATACTCTTTTTACTCTCATGACCTTAGTTCTCGAGCTACGTATTTCATTTTGGTACCAACGTGTTCGCAATAAAATTCTGTAGAAGAACATCAGTAAAAAAAAGTCACGAAACGTATAGGGATACCAGCACCAAATAAATAACTACGAAGATGACTCGCCGTGAGCGCCCAACAGCAACAAAATGTTTTTACTCTTGGGATTGTTATCACCTCCACACTTGTTCTACAGCGTTAATTTGGTATCAATGGACTCGCAATGAAATTCCCAACACGGTGATATGAATATAAGCGTAGAATAATGATTGCGGCCCGCCCGCAAGAGTGTGGGAAGTGGTGAAATTGTTACCCGGTGTCGGTGACGGGACGACGCACGGCGCTTTGAAAGTTTATACTTATTTCATTCTCATGACATTATTATTCTATGTACGTCATTCATTTTTGTGTCAATGTGTTCGCAATAGAATGTTCTATGAGCCCGTAGGTAAAAAAGATCAACAAAGCGTAAGATAGAAGAGCGCCAAATATAAAACAACGCTGGAACATATCAGTGAGAATCAAACACACACGAAATGGTTTTTACTTTTGTTATGTTTGTGAACCTTTCATGAACTTATTGTACCATGCAGCTTATTGGTGAGAAAGAGAGCCTCATGGCGCGCAGTTTGAAACAAACCCAAAGTAAATCGGATAAAAATTGAATTTTATACAAATATTTTAAAAGAGGACATAAGTTTATGTCCACTATGCGGTGGCGTTAGGCGAAACAGGACTCCTCGGTGAGTCCGGTTAGCGCGAAAGTGTTAATAAATAGTTACCATTCTTGCCCTAATATTTCCAACACTAAGGGCTGACTTCACTGAGCAAAATTTTAATTTCAACCTGTCATGTGAAGGACAACTTCCAAGAGAACCAGTCTGTAAAGAGATTTATCTCCATCTAACACTTTTCCTATGCCATAGTCTTGAAATATCATTTTCAAAGGACAAAATGACCCATAATATTGAACGAAAACCAGGTAATCTCAAAATTTAAATAACCATAGGTTTGGTTTTTAAATTTGCTGAATGGCTTTCCCACTATTTTTAGTAACATTGTGCCATTTATACCTAACATTTACCCATGCTTTATATGCTGATTTCACCGAGTGAAATTTAACCCATCATATATCGGCAACACTCGAGAGAACCTGTCTGTAAAAGATTTAACTACATCTAGCATATTTTCTATGCTCAAGCCTCTGAATCTCATTTTCAAAGGAAAAAGTGCCCATTGAAATTGAAATAAGTTTATTGAGGTAAAATACACACAAAGGGATGAGGTAGCTCAAGCTATTCTCACGCCATTAAGTACATCGTATTAATACATACATACACACATCACAAACAATAAACATTATCAAACATTCTGAGAGATAAACATATACATTTCCTAAAGTGCCCATAGTTTACTGAACAAAAACTTCTGCCAAAAAATATAAAAAATTGTTTTAAATGTGGTAAGTGGCTTTCCCAAGGCCCAACTGTCTTTTTGCCGCCACCTTTGAACTCGGTCCAAATGTTCTAAGCAAATCCACACATTCCCTACTTCAGCAAACTCTTATCCATTGAATTGGGTGAGCAGATCTGGCATGGAAAGTATGTGTTCCAACCAAACATTCATTGAATTGAGATTCCACTGTAGTTATTAGTGGAATAACTTTAGCAACATAGGGTTTCTATATTTTTGTTCAACATTATTGTGTGTTATTAGAAATTAATGAGTATAAGGTTTTTAATTGATAGTGATAATTTTTTGTTTTTTTTGTGAGAAGGGTAAAAGTTAATGGTTGTTAGATACATATTTGAAAAATGTAGGTTTTTGTTGGTAAAATCCAAACGAGTCAATTACAGGTATGAGAGAATGAGTAATGAAAGTCGACTGACGATTTTAATGATGGTGGCCCAAACGTAATATTAAGTACATTGTGTTGATTACAGGACTTGATATAAGTGGTGGTGGGTGCACTCTGAGCGATCAGTTGGTTGTGGCCGTGTTGCTGCTGCTCAACAAAGAAGTGTCAGAACATGGTCGACACCTAACGCAGTACTTCCATCTCTTCCATCTCTATGCCTCGTTGGGGCCTCCAGAAAAATTACAACTGCTGAAGGTAAACCTGCTTATCTTTCAAGTCAAGTTTTGGCAGGTTTGTTACTTGCTGCCATTGTTCTTTGTTCTCCTTTCCCTATCTTGTCGTTGTATTCTTTTCTTGTGCCATGTTATCATTCTGGCTTAGCATTTTTTCATAATTTCCTTCCTTACAACTTAATTAATAAGAATGTGGCAGTAATATAGTTTCATTCTTCTGTGATGAATTTGATGGAGGATAAAGATGTTACCATTATTTTATTTTTTTCTCTGAATTTTTTTTTTATATATAAAGCTGTCATGATAAAAAAAGTCTGATGTAGTTCTCTTCCAAATTTGTGTTTCTAGCCTTTTCTTCGCTATTAAGCTTTTCTAAGACCTCGTGTATATATATACATATAAATACTCATGAAGCTTTGTTTTCCAAAATACCATAGGTTTATTGCATATTTGTAGTGCCCATAATGCCTCTAACATTTTGGACAAGCCTTCAATTATTTATATTTTATAACAAGAACAGGGTAATAAGTTTATACTGTAGGTTAAATTTGTGTTTATTTTAGAGGACATTTACTGCATATTGTAATACCATCATGTATATTATATATTACCATATTGCAATGCCATCATTATTTATCCTCGACTTGTCTCGGCACATCACACCGCTGGGCTTTCCATCGCTCGTCTTCCCACCTGTTAATATAGTGTGTGTTTCTTATGAGCTTGTTGTTCCTTTTCAGCTAAATGTGGTAGAAATGTTTATGTTGGTGGCACTGGACGAGGGGCCCGGTCCAGCCATCAAGTACCAGTACGCAGAGTTGGGGCGGTTGTATCAGGTGGTTTCACAGTTGATAAGATCGTGTGACGTTTCTCAAAAGCAACAGTCTTCTCAACAAGTGAGTCAGAGTTGGGCATTGGTTTCGTGTAAAATTTCAGTGGGTATTTATTATATTGTAATTTGTATTTGTGTAATATATATTAGAACTTGTTAGTGGTTTATTAGTAGGTACATGAATTGTGTATATTGTATAAAGCCACTAATACGCAAAGGATTTTTAGTATGAAGTGAGGCTTTATGGCCATTCATATATTGCATATTTTATTTCATAATTCCCAGCTTCATATTAAGTGTAATCAGAATAAGGAAGAGGTGACTTTGAACACTCTTCAGTGTATGAAAAGATTGATTATAAAAAATGTAATTTTGCTAAATGATTAGATTTAGATAGCATTCGTTGTTACAAGGTGCATATTAACTTGAAACTCGTGTTGTCACTTGAAAATATTTGTGGTGTCATCACAACAGGGGCGGCTTCATTAGCCTAAACATACAAGCCATGTACTCATTATATTCCTTGTACTTGTTAGGTCCTATTTCTTGTAATCATTATTGCAACGAATGCTCACCCTGTAATCATTGCACATCTGCACATGTTGCAACACTTTCTTCGTATCATTAGATGTCATAGCCTAGGGATGCCGTTCGTAATCAGCAGCAACCAAAACACATGGTTATTGATTAAAATTATAGTATCCCCATTTTATTTCTTTTCTTTTTCTTTCAGAATACAACACCTCTTCCTAACCCCCATGGAGACACGTCGTGCCCTGAACCACTAATGCCTATCCAACCAAAAGTAGCAGAGATCCTTTATGGCCGAGCAACGTTAGTACTGTTTTGGGTTCATTTACATCAATGCACAAGACAAAATATACAGTAATGGCCATCTTGTTAAGATGAATTATTTTGCTTGGTTTGTGTACATTCATCCTTTCTTTCATAATTTTGTTGTTTCCTCTTTTATTGTTCCAGGTTTTGAGGCAGAAACATTATCACAGACAAGACATTGTCTCTGTAGATATTAGTTGGCAAATTATATTTATAACATTGAATATGTTGGGAACATGTAAAATACAGACGTGATGTCATACTTTTTTCTTTTTACTAAAGAACTTATAAATTTGTCGCAGTATATTTGATTTGAAACTATTTGAACTAGCACACCCTGTTTCTTCATAAAAAATAAATGCAAATAAAAAGCAAAACCCACATCTTCCAGACAAAAATTACAGTATCTAATAATGTCCCATTGAACCACTTATAACTTGGTAAATGAGTTATGTAGCACATTACTTTTGTTACGATTTTTCCCAGTGAAAATGTGTGTTTACTCGTACCACTGGAAAGAGAATTTTATTACTATAAATGTAAACAAGTTTGTAAAGCTAAACAAATTTTGTTTAACATTGACTTCAATAATGAATATCAGTAATGAGTGAGAAGCATCATATAAATACATTTTATGAAAAAACCACACATGAAAAAATTAAGATGACGTCGACATCTCGCTTCATCCTGGATCACTGTCAAATAGGACAGACCAAAATGTCGTCGCTTCTTCATTTTCCAATGTGTGGTTTGGTCATATCTTCAGCCATGTTATTGTGACTCATAATCTGCAATACATTTTGTGCTTTATAGATCATTACAAATGCTTGGTTAAAGTTTTAATGATTGGTGGGTATGCAGACTACAATAAATATAGGCATGCATACAATAATTTTCAGATAAGTGGGCTATTGAATTTGAAACCAATTAAATCATTTTTCTTTGTTGCATTGTCTATGCTCTATAATCTGAAGTATATAGGGCCCGCCCCCATTCAAGCTAGCCAAACAATTGAGTTGGCCAACTTTTTCTTTACGAGGAATGTTAAAAATGAATAAATTTGAATCTTGAATAAATATTCTGGTTTCTGAATCAGTAGAAATCACAGCAAGCAGAATTTCTATTAGTTAAAAAGTCAAACACGCTAACTCTAATTTATTTAGGGTTCTTGTTCTGTGTGGGTTTTTAGCCCAAATTCCTATTCTGATTAAAAAGTACACAAATGGTAGAAAACTTTAGCAAATTCATTCAGAGTACTCTGAGATTTGGGTTACCGAAATCCCAAATGCTGAGTTCTTACAGTGCTGTATAGCACTGTGAAGTAAGACTACAAGAAGCTTCCTGTACACCTAATTATGGCTCTAGTCTGAGTTAATGTACCTGCCAGTGACGGTTCCTTTTGTATTCATGCCACTGTTAATATTTACATTTGCCACTTTTGCATGGCTCTACTGCTTAATATTTGGCTTGTTTTCTACTTCATATTATAGTTTAAAATTGTTTCTCTTAACGTCTGGTCTATCTACTTTTAGTTCATTCCCAAATTCTCACTTGCATATTCTTGCCAGTGCAGTCCTCATTGTTGTATGTATAATTCAAGTAAATGTATAATAATCATAATTACCTGGAGGTATTCAATTTCAGTCTGAAATTGGTGAAATGCACTTAATGCATTTCATTGGTGTGTATCAAGAATGCAGGTCATTTTGTACACAAGACAGTTTTCCAGCAGATGTTAAAACCTTCTAAACTCAATGCAATCCACCTTGGTGATATTTAGTTTTATAGATGAGTCTCTGTACTATTTGTCCATAGTGTACCTGATTCTGCTGTTCAAAATAGTACTATACTGTATTTTCTAAGTTTGTCATGGGAACTGATTAGACTGGACTGATTAATCATTCAACTTTATATGTATTTTGTAATATGTATTCTCGTTTTTGGCACAGATATGTCAAGAAGATCATTGAGGATGCAAATAATTCTGAAGATACAGTTAAATTACTCAAATTTTGTTGTTGGGAAAACCCTCTCTTCTCTTCAACTGTGCTATCAGAACTACTTTGGCAGATTGCATATTCCTACACATATGAACTGCGACCATACCTTGACCTTCTTTTGCACATGCTATTGCTCGACGACTCCTGGCAGAATCATCGAATTCACAATGCACTTAAAGGTTTGTATAATTCATGCACTCTCCATTTCTTCCATTACCATACTTAAAACCCCTGTTTTAAATTAGCATAATGCAATATGCAAGGGAGCCGGTCGGCCGAGCGGACAGCACGCTGGACTGTGATCCTGTGGTCCCGGGTTCGATCCCGGGCGCCGGCTAGAAACAATGGGCAGAGTTTCTTTCACCCTATGCCCCTGTTACCTAGCAGTAAATAGGTACCTGGGTGTTAGTCAGCTGTCACGGGCTGCTTCCTGGGGGTGGAGGCCTGGTCGAGGACCAGGCCGAGGGGACACTAAAGCCCCGAAATCATCTCAAAATAACCTCAAGATAATATGCAGGTATGACTCAACGAACCTATCCCTTCTCAGCTGCTCGGTGTTCAGCTGGAACCCGTATTTTCCGTCTAGTGGAGGGAATTTGTACAAGAGCCATAGACAACCATTAGAGAGGAATAGTATTAATGTGCACAAATGCAGATGGAATTACAAACAAGGCATTAGTGCTACAAGAACAGACATGGAAAAGACGGCATCAAATTATGAGAGCTTACAAATGTATTAGGAAATATGGTTTTGAGTAACTTGGTAGGTAATTGGTAAAGACAGTGTAGAGCTAATAGGGAGATGAATTGGCTTTGTTGCTAAAACCACACTAGAGTTTTGATGGAATACCAGGGGGGACACAATCTACTGGACAATATGCTTAGTGCCAGTGATCATACACCAACCCTTTGCTCAACACGAGACCCAGGAAGACATCAAGAATAAGAAAAACCTCTTGAAGGATGTGGATAAGATGGCAACATGGCAAGGTGAACAAAATATAATCTAATTCTCAGACTTTAATTACAGTATAGAGAAATAATCCACAAGCAGTGCTGGGTCTAGTGTTCAGACGGAAGGAGGTTGATACCGAGCTGCAACACTGGGATCCAGTAACAACTGCACTGTAGTTTGATTACATACTTGAACTGCAAAAATGGCCAGACCAAGAACGGGTAAAGAAGGATAATGAGCCTACAAAAGAGTACGTTACTACTCGCAGCGAGTCTCATAGGAAACTGGACTAAAGATAAAAGTAAATATGTGATTAAGTAGCAAGAAATGGAGAAAGGTAATAAGAATGGTAAACTGTTGAAGCTAATGAAAAAGGCCAGGCCAAGGTGATGCATAGTGGTGTTGTACATAGTGGTGTTAGGCAAATGTAGTTCCAGTATTAAAGAAAGGGAACAGACACAGACCGGAAGAACTAAGCTGTAGACCAATGCAGGCGATGAATCTCACTAACGTGGCGAAGTATGTTGACCAATCCACTCGCTAGAAAATGAAGGTACGACGATGTTTCGGTCCGTCCTGGCCATTCTCAAGTCGAAACTGTAGACCAATGTTAATAACATGGAGCCTTGAAAAATTCTGGAGAATGTACTCTGGAAGAGAATGATGGAGCCTCTGGAGACTGCTGTTGTTAGTGTCTGTAAATGATCTAGTGTAGGTAGCATGTTCATGCATGACCGTATTTGCAGGCAGCACATAGGAAATGAGAAAAGTAAAAAATACGGATTGTAGAGTGCTGCACGAGGACCTGAACAAACTCCTATAATGTGCAGACAAATAGGTGCAGGTTGCTAGGTAGTTCTTTCCAACAAATACAAGAGTAAAAGTACATTATGGAAATTGGATGAGAAACTGACTTCACTGGACAGAAATGGAGCATTAACACTAGAAGGTCCCATATGGAAAGTTGGCAAAGATAACAATGTTGTGTAGGAATCTGAACACGGTCTTGATACAGACACTTTACACACCTTATATTAGATCAGTACAGTGGTACCTTGGTTTTCAAATTTAATCCATTCCCAGAGATGCCTTGTAAACCAAAACAAAGTTTCCCATAAGAAATGTAAATTGAATTGATCCGTTCCACACTCCCAAAAATATTAACTTCAAAATACATTTCATACATGATGCATACAAATATTTTGTACTATAATATGTACAAGTTATAGCTTACCTTTATTGATTATATTTGTTGGCATATGAGATGGCAAAGAGGGGGGGGGGTGAGGAGGAGAGGTGTTAGTGTTTGGAAGGGGAGTCATCAGGCAGTGATGACTTCTCTGGGGTACTCTCCTACATTTGGCCTGCATACCACTTGGACCTGGTTGTGGCTCACTGCTTGTTTCTCACTAAGAATCTTTCCAGAGACTTGTTTTTCTTCTATGGTCGTCCTCACATTACCACTGAACCTTACCACTGACTTACTTGGGATTCATGCTGTGTGGTATATAATTATTATTTTGGTTTCAAAACCAAAAATACTGAAAAACAATGAAATTCTTTACAAAGAATTCAAGCATGATTGTCACTAGGTGGGAGGAACTGGTAAATGGAAGTGCAGTCACCCGTGCCACCAGGAACCACGTGCTTGGTCAACCCATGTGTATCAACAAACTCGCAAAGCAAGGCAAAGCTTGTAAACCAATTCAAATTTTATGAAGAAATTGAGCTTGTAACCCCAAAAAATTGTAAAGAGGGACGTACGGCAACCGAGATTTCACTGTACCACCACCTTGAAATCTATTATTTCATTCGGCATGAAAGGAAATTTTTTGGAAACCACTACGTTTTGCAAGACTGTGAGGACAGGTTATAAGATAATGCAGTTCAACAAGCCTAGAGGACAAGAAAGCAGAGGCTAATGTGAACACAACACAAGATACTGAGGGTAATAGACAATGAATGACTGCCTCTGTAAACTGAGTGAATATATGACGACAAAATATCAGTAGAAATTGGAAATGTTAGGGAGTTGAAGAATGATTAAAATGTACTCATTATGAATGTTCAACAAGCAGAACGCACTGAAAGATGTGAATGCCAACTCCATATGCCAGTGCAAGAGTAAATGCAGTATAGAATTGTCAGAATATTTAAATGTGCACCCAGTAGAAAAGGCTAGACGAGTGGTCAGAAGGGCCTAGACGTTACTTCCCCACTGTCATTGATAGGTAAATGCTAATTGGTAAGCACATGTGCATACAAGAGTGCATTAGCATGAAGTCACTTGTCAACATTCCACCACCCATTCAGCCACTGTTACTGTAAAACATGTATGCTTTAAAATACAGTAATAATATTTCTTGAAGGAAATTTTACAGTAGAGTCCTGAAATGCTGCATAATATTTCTGAAAATTAAGGTTTAAAAAAAAAAAAAAACATGCCTCTTTAATTGAATAGTAATAATATTGGTTTAATTTTGTCTCATTGTTTATTAGGAATTCCTGATGACCGCGAGGGCTTATTTGATACAATCCAGCGAAGTAAAAACCACTACCAGAAACGAGCGTATCAGTGTATAAAATGTATGGTAGCACTCTTCACTTCTTGTTTGGCTGCTCAACAGATGTTACACTCCAATGGTGATCTAAAGGTATGGATTTTACTACCGGCATTTTTTTTCTTAGTGTGTGGGTGTGTACAGATGAATTGGGCATAGGTTCCCATGGTAGGATTAAGTTTTTCCATTATATTTATTAACCATACATTAATTGATAAGGGAAAAGTAGATTGACCTGCCTGAAGGTGGGGAAAGGAAAAATGCAATCACTCATACAGGGAGTATTTGTAGTATGAGTGTATTGTAGAAGTAGCATCAAATTTGCTGCACAAGTGTATTGTGGAAGTGGCATCAAATCTGATAGATGGAAAGAAAATACAATAGTTTGTGTTTCTTGGATTTTAATGACTATCCAATCTTTTTTTTTTTTTTGTGTGTGTGTGTGTGTTTCTATAATTGCATTTACTGAAAGCAGTGACATTTGAAATTGTAAATGGTTCAATTTTTTGTATCTAGTAATGTTCCTGGTGATGTGATGCTACTGCCGAATAATATTAATATTCCATTAGTACAATAATAACATCAGGTTTTTAAATAGTGACAGTTGTTTGGAGTGTTGTGGTAATGCAGTGTTCAAGGGTCTTGGATTTATATAGCCAGGTCTTAAAAATGGTAGGTGATAATTTACCGAATCTAAGTATCGGGAGCGAGATGATTTGTCATGGTTGCTTTAAATACAAAAATCGATGTCATTTGATTAACTGAATTTTCATCAGGTGTGTTGACTTGAAGCTAGGTAATGTCTCTCGTATTAGGGATGTATAGTATGTGCCACTTGCTTTTCAGCGCAAGTGGACCTGGGCTGTGGATTGGCTGAATGACGAGTTGGATAGACGTCCGTATGCGGCCAACCAACAGTATGGGTTCAACAATTGGTCTCCGCCGGCACAGAGCAATGAAACGAGTAATGGTTACTTCTTGGAGCGTTCACCGAGTGCACGGTCGACTTTGGAAAAAGCTTACGAGTTGTGTCCTGAAGATGTAAGTTGTTCCTCTAATTTTATAAATTTGACTGCTTATACCAGATTATTTAACACCAGCTATTATCAAGAACATACAGTAACACGAAAATAATACTATTACACTTTATATGGTTTCTTTAAATACAGTAAACAAAATCAATGACCAAGTATGAAGTTATAGTAAGTAGTTTGAATAAAGCTGAAGCTTTACTGTATAAGAACCAGTTTTCCAGAGTAAAGTTTATAGAGTAAGATTTAAAGTGATTAAAAGGCAATGTAACAAATAACATTATAATGATTTTATGGAGCAGTAGGCATTGAAGGTACCCTTTCAAATTGATGGATTGCTGATCAAGGTGAAAGCAGGGTAAAATTGACAAAAATGAGTTAAAGTATAAAAGAAATATGGATGTGGAAAATATGACATAAGGCATGGGATAGTGGTGGTGCATGTGAGTGTTGGAAAAAAAGCTTGGATTATATATAACATATAGTACTCGTCTAGTTTTACTCGCCTAGTTGTGCTTGTGGAGGTTGAGCTTCGGCTCTTTGGTCCTGCCTCTCAACTGTCAATCAACCGGTGTGCAGGTTTCTGAACCTTTCTGGGCTCTATAGTAGGATGTAGCTAGCACGAATTTGAAGTGTAAGAGTAATTGACAAACAGAACTGGTGTTCTTTGGGTAGTGGATTTGTAGAACCGAGTGAACTTTGAACACAGGTAAAGATCAGGTGTTTTGCCCTTTTCCCGATAAAAAGTGTCCCGAGATGGTTTGGGCATGTTGAACAAGTGATAAGATACTTTGGGTGTGGGTGACTGAATGTAAGAGAGGACGGCCAGGAAGATCAGCTGGTGTAATTACCCAAGTGTAACCTCAAGCGGCATAGTTACAGGATGAGAGCTACGCTCGTGGTGTCCCATCTTCCCAGCACTCTTGTCATCCAACGCTGTGAAATTATTGACAGTTTTGGCCTCCACCACCTTCTCGCCTAACTTGCTCCAACCATCTACCACTCTGTTTACGAAAGTAAATTTTCTTATATTTCTTCAACAGCTTTGTTTGGTTGTTTAAATCTATGACCTCTTGTTCTTGAAGTTCCAGGTCTTGGGAATTCTTCCCTATCAATTTTATCGATTCCCATTACTATTTTGTACGTGGTGATCATGTCGCCTCTTTTTCTTCTAGCTTCTATTTTTTGCATATTTAATGCCTCTTAACGTCTCCTCGTAGCTCTTGTCCTTCAGTTCTAGGAGCCATTTAGTTGCATATGTCTGCACCTTTTCCAGTTTGTTCATGCGCGTCTTAAGATATGGGCACCATACAACCGCTGCATATTCCAGCTTTGGTCTAACAAAAATTGTGAACGATTTCTTTAGTATTTCGCCATCAATCTATTTAAAAGCAATTCTGACGTTAGAAAGTATAGCATGGGCTCCTTGTGCGATGTTCTTTGTGGTCCTCAGGTTATGGTTTTCTATCTAGAACCTCCCCTAGATCTTTATCAAAATTCTTTAAAGATTTCTCACATAATTTATAGGTTGTATGGGGTCTATGTTCTCCTATTCCACATTCCAAAAACATGGCATTTATTCACATTTAAATTATATTTGCCAAGTGGTGCTCCATACACTTATTTTGTCCAGGTCTTTGTAAAAGGTATGGCAATCATTTAAGTTCCCATTTTTTCCTAGTTTCTTGGCTGCTTCAACAAACATGTTCATATCATTGTCTTCCATCAGGTAGATCGTTTATATCTCTAGATAATGAACATCACTGTTGCTAGAACTGAACCCTGTGGTACTCTTAACTCTAAATCAACTAGTGTAGAGGTTCCTGAGCCTGTTGGACTCTGTTAACTACTGACACTGAACAAATTCTTGTCTCTTGGTTCATTTGGATTTTCAGTTTCCACCTGTGGCCCTTTATGTGAGTACTGTACTTTCCTATCTGGAGGTGATGTTTTGCTGCTGCAGACAGTTGTTGGAGTGCAGTACTACTGTATATCCATGATATATGGTGATAGGCTACAAATGGATGGGTGATGTAATATCTACAAATTTCTTTTACGATATTCTTACTACTTTTAACACTTTCGCGCTAACCGGACTCACCGGTGAGTTCTGTTTCGTCTAACGCTAACGCATAGTGGACATAAAGTTATGTCCTCTTTTAAAATATTTGTATAAAATTCAATTTTTATCCGATTTACTTTGGGTTTGTTTCAAACTGTGCGCCATGAGGCTCTCTTTCTCACCACTAGGCTGCATGGTACAATAAGTTCATGAAAGGTGTGGACCACTTCGATCAAATGGTATTATGTCCCAAACGGGTTGCAGGTGGGTGACTTTAGCCGTTTATACTGGTAATGCTTCCCCCATATCATGTATTATATGCATATGTCTGTATAGGGAATTTTATTCCGATCAATGTACAACCAAAAATAACTGTGCAACAAGTATAAACTTGACAAACATAACAAAAGTAAAAACATTTCGTGGGTGTTTGACGCTCGCTGATATGTTCCAGCGTTGTTTTATATTTGGCGCTATTCTATCTTACGCTTTGTTGATCTTTTTTACCTATGGGCTCATAGAACATTCTATTGCGAACACATTGACACAAAAATGAATGACGTACATAGAAAATTAATGTCATGAGAATGAAATAAGTATAAACTTTCAAAGCGCAGTGCGTCGTCCCGTCACCGACACCGGGTAACAATTTCACCACTTCCCACTCTCTTGCGGGCAGGCCGCAATCATTATTCTACGCTTATATTCATATCACCGTGTTGGGAATTTCATTGCGAGTCCATTGATACCAAATTAACGCTGTAGAACAAGTGTGGAGGTGATAACAATCCCAAGAGTAAAAACATTTTGTTGCTGTTGGGCGCTCACGGCGAGTCATCTTCGTAGTTATTTATTTGGTGCTGGTATCCCTATATGTTTCGTGACTTTTTTTTACTGATGTTCTTCTAGAGAATTTATTGCGAACACGTTGGTACCAAAATGAAATACGTAGCTCGAGAACCAAGGTCATGAGAGTAAAAAGAGTATACACATTTTTGTTTTTACGCTTACGCTGCAAAACGCTGTGTGCACTTACGGTTGGCTGAGTGACCTTCGCGGAGAGCGCGAAAGTGTTAAGCTGATGTTGAACCATCTCGTGTCAGTCAGGAAAATTGTAATGAAAATGCATGTTATAGCTTGTCTGATGTGTTTAATGCTATTGAATACAGGAACCTGAACCAGAAGAATGTGAAGAAGCAGAAGTTGCTGTTCCAGAAGAAGTGGCTCCTCTTCCTCCTGGATCTGAACCAGGGCAGCCACAGCAACCACAGCCACAGCAGCAGCAGCCAGGGGTAAACGTATATACGAAGTCATTGTTTCTCATTTCATTCAGTCTTCAGTTAGGGATTAAATTAAGATGTACTTTTGCTGTGTTGTAAAACTTTTACAGTTAGGTTTTTTTAATAGTAAAATATATATCCAGACTGTGGGGGATTTGTATTGAATTCACTACACTCAAGGCCCTTGTCTTTGTATATACTTCTTGGCTGTTCATATAAATAATTAATTTAATTTATCAACTCAAAAACTGTTTATAAATGGTTGTATCTTTACAATTCATTTAATTTACACCAATTGTTAGATTAATTAAGAAGCTTTATAAAAAAATTATTAGCTTTATTATATATATATTTGATAAAAATTTCAAAAGGGCATCTAAACCTATCATTTAATTATTTAGTACACTTGTCGGTTATTAAAAGTAGATTTGGCTTAAATGTGCTATGGATGTAAGTCGGTAGATGATGCTAAAGCAACACTTTTACATTTTGGTTGCTCATCTCTGCGTGTATTCACACCTCCGCAACTCTCTGCTAATACAGCTATACTAGAGTTTTGAGGGGAATAATGAGGACAGTGATGACCAACACATGAGAACTAAAATGTGATTGGAGAAGGTTCAAGACAAGATGATAGTACTGTAGGTGGTCGTTTGTAACTCCATCCCCCCACTCCCCTACCACCACCCACCACCCTTCCTGGTACATTAAGTAAAATTAGATCATATAACGACCACTTGTTGAGGGAACGTGTCCTGAAACCAATGAGAGGAAAATTGAGTAGACCTAGAAGCAATGCTAGACCTGTGTTCATACAAAAAGAGGAATACTTTTAGGATAAATGGATAGATCCCTAGGAGCAAATCACGGTAGGATTTATAATTCATATCTGTAGTTAAATGGAAAAACCCTATAGGGTGTGGATTGGCAATAATTAGACTATTCATAAATGTTAGCAGATACACTTCACTCCAACTCATTTAATATTAATTTGTCCATAGCCCTGTCCATATATTTTTTGTATGATTACTTCTGACTTTGATAATCTGTCGTATCAGTTACAAACGCAGCCGCCACAACAGCAACCACAACAGCAGCCACAACAGCAAGCCCCACAGCAGCCACAACAGCAAAAATTACCACCTACCTCAGGACCACAACCTTCTAGTTCACAACTAAATTTTACAACTAAAGATTCTCCAGCAAGCAGCCAGAATAGAAGGTAATGCAAAGTTTTCTTAACGTTTTATATTTTGAATGAGGTTATTTTAACACTTTAGCGGTCTGGCCTACTGTGTTATTTCCAACCAAAAATGTTCTGGGCTCCCGAGGCTGCTCAATGATGTGATTTTTTTTTTTTATAATGGTTTCACATTGGGTTATAACTAAGTTTGGTTATAACTATAACTAGAGAATAAATGCAAAAGCAAAAGTGTATTTATAATAGATTATGCACAATAGCAGCAGTGCAATACTGGGTACAATACTGTGTATGAATGTTTATGAATAGCAATCAGATGACGTGTTTCAGCATCATCAGAGGGAGTTATGAGGAGAAAGCACCAAGCTATTACGGCTATATAGCATAGCATTATCGGAACGTTTATTGTCCGAGATGGATGACTTTTTTAAATTTTCTTGTACTGTATTTGCAGTATTTTTTCTTTTCCAGTTTCTTGGAACAGTTTTCCAATACAGTGACATTATTATGACAGGTATCATGGTTTTTTACAGTCGTTTTACATAATGTAAGGCTAAAATCTCTTCCCTAAAGCGCTTTGTTGCACCATAGATTTTACATTCACATTTAAGGCCAATAATTATTAACTATTGAAGGGTGCCATACTCTCCTGCATGTTAACCAATATTTATTGTTGATATTTCAGCCATAGTGGTGGATCAGTAACAGTTAGCAGCAGTAGTGGGAGCAGCAGTGGGAACACAGAGGCCAGTACTGCTCTTAACTCCCCCACCACCATTCCAACTACAGCCACCACAGCCACTACCTGCCTAGTAGGTACACCAAGTACTAGTACCACAATGGCTGTCAATGCTACCAGTACGCCAGGAGGACCACAATCTACCATCACCAATGCCAACATTACCAGCACGAGTAGTAGCAGCAGTACTTGTAGCACCATCAACAGTAGCACCAGCAGTACAGGTGGCCCAAATAAGACCACGCCATCCCCTCAATTAACTCCAAATTCCCAGCCCTCAGTGCAGGACAGTACCCAGGAAAACTAATTTTATTTACAGATGCAACTGACTTTAAATTGAAAATAAATTATATTAGAATGTTAATTGAATTTATACACATTGGGAGCTTCTGAAATAAAAGCAATTTTTGTTTTTGGAAAACTCACAGAAAGGTCACAGAGGTGTCATTGCAAGAAATAACGAGCAATGAGAAATGTGTGGATTCTCACGAGTACCTTTACAGAATCTGTACAAGGATAATCCACTGCATTATTCAGATATTTTTTAGTGGTGGATGCCATAATGGCTTGAAGTGGATGTTCTGCTATTTATAATGAAAAATATATATATATGATTGTAAATAAGAGTGGCAGTGATTTGTATTGCTGTGAGAAGAATGTTCCTTCTGCTCAAAGTGAATGTTGGGACCCTCCATATTCTTCATGTGACTGGTGACCACACATTCACAGCAGAACTTTGATGTGGAAAGTCAGTCGTGAATGTCACCATGGATTATGTGGAAACTACCAAGTAAGGCAAGTATGAGTGAACTGTGGAGGGTGGGAAACAAAAGAAACCATGTACCTACTGGCAATTATGGAATTCAAATACCTACATTGTTGCACCCTGATTTCTGTAGCAAGTGGCTTTTAAAATTCAGTCCTTGAAATTCTTTTTTCAGAAACTAAAAAGTCTATGTGTTGTATTCTTAAAAATTTTGCCCCTTTTTTTCTGAGTAATGTCCTAAAAAAAAAAAATACACTTCCAATGATGTGCTTAATTCAGTATTTACTTAACAAGTTTTAACGTGTATGTACTGATGACTGCACAAGTGACTAGTCAAGCAGTGAGTAGCAGAAGCTCCTGAACCAGTCTGCTCTTTTGTCTCGGCCTTTATAGGCAACACCTGCTTGCTGAACATTAACATATGGTAATGCATTCAGGTGTTGTAGAACCACACATGGGCCATTTATTAAAAAAAAAAAGCACGGTGGCACCTCTAAGCCAAGTGCCAAGAAAATGTGAGCCACCTTGAAGATGGAGCAGCACAGTGAGCCTTCGTGTACATCGTCTGCTGTTGCAATGTGCAATGTTTTAAGAACCAGTCTCACTAGTTTAGTGAATTTTTTGTAGTGGGATTGAGGCAGTGCCTGTGAAATGAAATACCAGTTATCCATGAACAAAATATTTTAGGAACAGTGAGGCTCAAAGCTTGAATTCCATAGTTAAATTTTGTGGTATGTTTGGATTCTGGCAAACACTGGCATGGAATTTGTTTACTGCTATTGATGCCATGGTTTGGAAAATGAGCTGTGTAAGAATCCATATCCTAGATACATTTGATACTCCAACATTATCTACAATTGAATATTACTCTTTGCTGACCAGCGTTTTAAGTCACATCCTGCACCAGTTGCCCGAGCATCTTTTTTGTTTAGCCCGGGAGTAATGCGACTCTTGTATCATTGTGAGTAGTTAGCTTGTTACAACTTTTTTGGCGAGTCAAACATTTTGACTACATTTCTTTGATACCAGCACACGAGAAATGCATCAAGGATTTGGCTTCGCTAAAGGTTGTAATGGTGCCGAAGCTCACAATTCCTGCTTGTTGTCTGTGAGCCAAGACATGTGCTGCTGCTGCCCAGGTGTAACCACCTTTTGTGACTATAGATTTTTTTGTATGGAAACTTTTGTTAGTTCCCCTGTTTCTATTAATGATAAAGCAGTTTGGAGTGGAACTAGTGGTAGCAGTCAATCACCATCTTAGGAGCTGATCCAGCCTCATGCATCTGCTTGTTACTGTCTTGTTTGCCTACTAATGTATTATAGGTTTCCCACACAGATGCCTTTTTTGTTTTAAGGACCTCAAGTTTGAATACTGAAAAAAATGCTATTGGGAAGTGTGTGGTTGTTCTGTAAATTCAAAAACTTATATATTACATACATTTAATATTTGAATGACAGTAGGTGGGGGTTTATCAATTGGTTATATTTTTTCATTATACATTTGCTGCCACCAACTGTGATTATATGAAAATTGTGAAGACATGTAAACAGTGTATGATGTAGTATTTTCATGTTACTACCTTGTCATTAATTGTAAAGCACCAGAGAATACTTGTATATCACTGTATAAGATATAATTTAATTGAAACTAAGCACTTTTTTATTGAAATCATTTAACAGATTTATTTTTATGCCAATACCCTTTTTTCTTCAACATTATGCTTTTGTGTCTAAAATAAAACCAGTGCTTATTTTTCTCTTTCATTTGTGTTAGGATTCACATTAATTTATTACTGTATGGCTGATTATGCTAAAATATAACTTAAAGATTTTACCAGGTTTTTCCCAACTTCCAAAGCACATTATTTATTAGTTCATTGCAGTATTTACGTCTCAAATATTCATATGTAAGTGCATCCAATCTTTATTAATCAAGTTTCAATATATATATTTTTTTTTTTTCCATGTGCTAGATTTTTTTTTTTATTACATCACAAACATGAAGCTGCAGTACAGACTGTTTCAGAACCTGAGTATTGCTTCCCATCTGCATGGTCTTGGTGCTTATTTTGTACTAATAAGCTCTCCTTAAAATCAGATGTAAAGCTAAAGTAATTCATTTGCAATATAACTGAATAAATAACAATATACTAAGGATTTTATTTTTATTTTTTTTTTTAAATTGGATAACCACATGACTTGAAATTATCTGTAGGTAATAATCCACAGTTTTAGCAGTTTGAGAAAATGGAATACATGTCAAGGGTGCAAAGATATTATACATCCTTCTGTTAAATTGTAAAGTAATTGTCTTGAAGGGTTTTGGTATATTCACATTCACAGACAAACAAGTTACCAGCACCATTTGCACTGAGTACATAGATATGCAAGACACTTTACTAGTTACTAAATGTTTTGGAGTAGGCATGCCAGTTATTTCATAGAATGATAGATGAATGTGTGTGCGTGCATGCAGAGATTTTGTCAAAAGACTAGGTGCTTCATGGGTAGATAATTTGTAATTTCTTTTTATTTTGAAGGTTAAAGAAAAGTTCAAAGTTATAAAGCTGAATTATACTTTAAAAAAGTATAAGCAAAAAATGTTTCATACAGGACTGACGGTTAAAAAATTTCCATAAATGTACTGTAATGCTCAAGTTCGAATATGAATAAATAACATTATTCATAAATGGTTGTACACTACATATATAAAATATTTGGTTAACAAAATTTGAATTGTATTATTCATTGCTACAATGAAGGATATTCTTACTCTTAACACAATTCACTAAAATTGTGTGCAATTCCATAGTAAAGCCGCAAGGCCCATTGTGACATACTGAATAAGTGTAAGATAATAGTAATTGTTAAAATTCTAACTACTAAAATACATCAAACATGGGCAGGCAACAAATGACTTTATTTAAAATTAACTACACCCTTGATAGTGAAATAGTGGATTTTGAACCTTTTTTACGACTATAGCTTGTTTACAGTAAGAGGTAACGTTTACAAAAGTCACTTGATACAGTCGATGAGCATTGGGTGCCTTAAAAAACAAACTATTTAGTGCCTGTACCAGGCATAGAATAAAAAACAAAAATGCCCATAAATTGTCAAATATAGTTAAGAAACATTGAAATGTAAAAGGAATTTTTGTCATCTTATTTTATTTCTCTCGTTTGATTGTGGTGTATGGTTCTTACGGAATGATGACACTTGGTTAGCGACCTAGAAAGTGGCATTATGGTATTATAAAAGGTATCTGATCCCAAAATTGGCCTTCCATTTTCAGTTGGCAAGAAATCTTCAAATCGATTAAAAATGCTCCCGGCATGCTACCTTGCATGTTATTAATAATGGATGTTTACAGTTGGTGGATGTCCGGTTTGAGTTTCTCCAAGATGAATAGGATGAGAAAAATACAGGTCTAAAAATATGAAATGCCACTAAATAATAAAAGTATTTATTACTATGTCCATTAATATAAAATCTTGATGCTCTGTGGTATTGAGAAAACACTTGAGACAAACATCTGTGAACCAGGGGCCAGATTCACGAAAGCACTTACGAACCTGTACATCTTTTCTCAATCTTTGGCGGCTTTGTTTCCAATTATTAAACAGTTAATGAGCTCCGAAGCACTAGAAGACTGTTTATAACAATAACAACAGTTGAATGGGAAGTTTTCATGCTTGTAAACTGTTTAATAAATTTAACCAAAGCCGTCATAGATTGAGGAAAGATGTACACGTTCCTAGGTGCTTGCGTAAGTGCTTTCGTGAATCTGGCCCCAGGTCTGTTATGAGTGTTGTCTAAGTATGGAAATTAAGTCAATTTTCTGCAGTAGTCCATAACATGCAAGGTCATGCTAGTAAAATTCCCTTAAAAATATTTGGCGTCTTTTGCCATTTAAAGACTCGGTATAGAGACAAATCATTGAACACTGTTGTTATTTGCTAATAAAATGTCTTGGACATGTACTATTAGTTTTATATAGTTTTTTTTTTTTTGTGGGGAAGGGGGGGAGTCTATTAAGAACATTAATAACTTTTAAGTGGCTAGAAACTGGTGACAACTATAGTATTGCAAAACAAAATAAATTTGTTTAAATACTGTACCTGTAAAATGACTTGGACTATACAGTAACATGAATTTATAGAAATTTACATAGATGTTGTGCAGGTTTTCCTCCTAGTTCAACCCTGAAACACACTTCCTCGTACTGTATCTTGATCCCTAAACATCGATCATGCTGGATGAGCACAAGGTTTAGCAGTTCCAGTTCATCCTCTTTCTCAGTTGTCTTACTTTAAGGGAAGTACAGTACTATAATTCATTTCTAAATTATATGTATACCCTCCACGTCATTTTGCTTTCTTTCCTGACCATCTGAATTGCCCCTTTAAAAGTTGGCAACCTAATTTACTTATTTCTGGGATACCCATAAGCTATTTGTTATATCATCTGCATTTGTGTTATAACTCGATTAGTACTGGGGCTTGTATCCTTGCAGAGGATGGTAGGGTTCAACATTGTCCAGAACTGGGGATACATACCTAAGTTATTACTGTCACTTGTAGTGCCAGGTAGACAAGGCTGTACTGCCGCTCAAGGGTTGATACTTGCTGATCTGGACCCCGTTTGTGACCTAGGGATACCATTTTGCTTACCTGTCCTATTCTCCTTTAATTAAAAAAAAAATTGATTTCATTCCTTTATTTTCTTCAGACATGTTTTAGTTCAGGTACTTGTGATATTTATATTCATCATGTTGTTTCCTCTTCCAGTGAGCCTGGGGCATGTTTATGGAGTTTTGAATATTAACAATGGCTGTTGTTACACATCAGCTGTCAATATCATTTAATTTAATTTAATCTCTCAAAATATACAGGCACAGTACCTGTATTGTATATTTCATAAATACGTACCAACAAAATGTGCCATGCATTCTTTTAACATTCTTCATTTATACTATGCACAATGTCCTGGCTACATATGGGATCAATATTGATGACCAAACCGCACGCCAAAAGATGAAACCTTTTTTGGTCTGTCCTGGATCATTATCAAGTCGTGTGTCAGACGCCGACCCACTTTGATTTTGTATATTATTAAAGCTCCAGTGACAATTATCAAAGATGTAAGGCTGAACTTTAGGTCCATAACTGCACTTGAAAGAGGCTATCATGATCTTTGTATTATGGTATTACAGGGGTCAGACCACTGTAAACTGATGCTTTGCAATAGGCACAATGATCAGTATCACTCGGATGCCCGTGGATCTGACACTGAAATCGGCCTAGGAGAGAAATTTGGTTGCCAGCTTGTGGGGGATATAGTTGTTACTCTATCACAAGCAATTATAGATTTATGCAGGATCTTGATGTTGCAATTAATAATGTTTTACACAGATCTATAAAAAAGGGGGGGGTTAGCATTACTGTACTCTACTTGACTGAAGCAGCAAAAAAAAAAAAAAAAAAACAGAAATGCACAAGTCCAACAAATGAATGTTCTTGTGCTTAAACATTAGTGTTAAAGTTGTCATTACTTTCTTTTCCAGAGGCAGCATCCTCTTATTGGTGATAAACAGAGGAGAAAATTGTCCTTATATACACCTTTAAAAGTGGGGACAAAAAGAAAGTTATGAAGGAATATCAATAAATTACCCCTTGGTTCAAAAGGAAGTAACTGAAATAAAATATTACATTTCAATATTACTTGTAATGTAGTGTCAAATGCTTTCTCAAGATCAGAGAGAAGAGCTACAAATGTGCCAGTTTGCCTACAGAGCAAAGTTAGCAGAGTTCTGAATATGAACTTCCATGTTCCGCAGGATATTGGTAGTTCTATCTTTTATGGAAACCAACTTTGATTGGTAAAATTCTAGGACAGTTCATTATGTGCCATATTGTGGTGCCATATCTGGCCTTTGTCCAGTAGAAACAGATGTATGCTTAACCAATGTGTCTATTCAAAATCCTGCATGCATTGTTTTGCAATATTTTACTCACCTACACGGGTATTTTTCCGAACATTCACAATGAAACCCTGTGTCTTGTTCCAACATTATCTCCATGAAAAGTTCCAATAATTACATTTTGTAAAGGCTCTTTCCACCCCCATTTACAATCCACAAGGGTAAGGGTATAATACTAGCATTAATGGGCAGCCCAAAGGTAAATTAAAAGTACTGTATTGGAGTTACTATGATGAAATGTACACAATATGACATGACTAAGCCATATACAGAGCACACTAAATCTGAATAACAGGATCAACATTTTTCAAGTGAATAAATAATACAAAATTTAGTGCAGATCATGTGTAAAAAATTAGATGTAGCTACACATTCATTTTCAAGATGCCTCACAAATTCACCTCTCCTTGGGGGGGGGGGGGGGGGGGGGAAAGAGCTTAAATGGCTCAAAGTAGCCACCAGTTACATCTTATAAATACAAAGGGCCTTCCTTTTACCCCAATTCATGAGTGGTCAAATTTTCTAGCTAATACACAAGCCTGAGCATAATGGTCTACATTCTTGGGTCACAGTCGATGGGTTCTGGGTGCTCTCCAGACAACAAATGGTTGCCCATTTTCCTTTCACATGATGCCTCTGATCATCTAGCAGTAAACTAAGTATCTGGGAGTTAGGTAACTGTTGAGGCGTATCCTGAAGTCAATAATTGCGATGAGGATGGGGGGAGGGAGACCTTCAGTTTAAGTAAAGGGTTCCTGTCCCCCAACAATGAGAATAATTATAAGCCATTCCCTTATAACACAACTCCCAGTAAGGAAAACAAGTTTCAAGTCAAAGTGATGTACATAGAACCTTGAGAGAATATATACAACAGTTTACTTCACGTGATCTATAGAAACATCTTCACATGTTAATGATTCTAAAGTACAGTACAGTAGTGAAATGGGATGATTACGTGTCCGTTGTATTTCACACGTCACAGCCAAAATCTGCAATATACTATAAAATGGAAGACAGACAAATTTTAGATTCAAGATATTTTTATTGGTGGAACTGAAATATTTCACTACACAAAAAGCTTACAAAACAAGAGGCATACTTTTCATATCATTGATACAGCATTCCTTTAACAGGAATTGGTTTATATTGTACCTAGAGAGATACAGAAGTTAAAAAAGAAAGAAAAATAAAGTGAGTTGAACATACAATCATCCTATTCTGGGGTGACCACTGAAAGGCAAATTTAAAGGAGTTGTGGTCTCAAATCCACAGCAAGCCCTTAACTTCAGTGAGTTTCAAGAAATGTGTTAACACCTCAACTCCAGAATAGAATGCCGTCTTACATTTGTAGCCTACATGAAGATCTGTTCTAGTGGTGTACAATCACTATAGTCTTCTTTGACAAATCCTATCACCCAAACATACAATTTGTAAAACTTTTGTAAATATAAAAAGGTGTGGGAGTGAAAGGTTGCGGGAGAAATGCACCATGCCAGTGGACCTGCGCGCCCATGGTTTATTCAGTGGCATCCGTTATTTACAAGTGAGAAGAGCAAGACTGAATACACCATTGCCACAAATGCTAAATATCATATCCACTTTTACATCACCTTGGACGAGTTCACATAAAGTATGACCTATAGGGGTGAAGAACAGCTTACCTCATTCACATTCATTAATGTGCTGAGACAAGCAAATTCTTTTGTATTAGTATTTTTTGCACTGACTAAAGAGTACACCTACTTTTCGACCCTTGTACATCCATCTAAGCAAACTTTTATTTAAATCAAGGACTTCTGTGAGCGCATTTTCACATCTAATTGACAAATTCATGCTCCGGATGCTGAGGCACCTACATCGTAGGTGGGAATGGATGCTGGCCGAACAACACCAACAAACTGAACAGTGGATCATCCTTGTCAAATGATATTAGCGTGGGACTGAGGCAGGGTTACCCTATTACGATTGCTTCGGATTGTAGGGAAGATCTTGATGGGGAAGCTTCAGTTAGTGCCCCAGTAAGACCCACCATATGAAGGCTTTGATCCTCCCTTGTTCTGCCCACCTGTACTTCCTGCACGCTGACCACCAGAGCTGCCTCCATCCTGTGTAACAGAAACAAAGTCATTATTGTTTTTATCCTACCAATAACCACTTTGACATCTGTAAACATTAAGCACTGAGTGTAATGCTATATTATACACACAAAACAATCTATAACCTTGGATTTTCTCTTAGAAACAAGTTTTTTATAAATACAGTACCTCAAATACATCATATTATGTAATACACTCCTAGTGCCATTAAGCTAGTCAAAATACTAGGAAAGATACATAATTTAGTTTTCCTCTGCACAGAAACCCAAGGTAACAAGCAGGATTATTAATGTGAACTTTTCACTGTATCTACATCAAATTCTTGGTTTTCTCTATACAATAATGGAACTTGGGCAGCATATCCAACAGTCATTTGTTGTCTCTGAAAATCATCCATAACAGCACCCCTCTTGAATACACTTCCTCCCTGTCCTTCCATCTCACCTTTGGTCTCCCAAGACCCCTAATAAACTTGAAAGGCAGGCAAGTTGCTGGCGCTCTGAGGAGAGTAATGAAAGGGAAAAAGATGAGCTGATAGGGTTTATAGTACGTGCTGCCCATTTTCATTAATAAACAATAGAAACAAAGGTCTGGAATAACAGATTCACTAAAGAAATATAGGCAACAGCATTTTTCAATTGGATGTCGAATTACACCTGAAAATAGTAGTATTAGTAGTAGTAGCGCACACAATAAAATTCCACAATCATGATATATCCATGAGAAAATATCGAGTTCATATGATGGGATTGAACCAGACTCCCTGTGATTAGTTGATCAAACAGATATATGGGCAATGGGAGAGAGAGTACAGAGAATTGCGGATGGAAAATATTTTTTCCTCTTAGCGAACAGGTGAAGCCAAGAATGACCTTTTAACATCACTTGTGTTTTCTAAACTGGTATGACTAAACACTAACAGCCCCATCACCTATATAGAATGTAGTGACAGTAAGAATTAAAAAGGCATTAGTTAACTGTGTAGTAAAAAAATAAAAATAAAAAGTGTGGCAGGATAGTGATCAATTGGTCAGTTGTAAACATGGTGGAAAACGGGTGTGGCTCAGACATCAATCTCCATTCAAACAGCTTGTGGAGAAGGCATGTAAGAGAGATTATTAGGAGTATATAACATTGGAAAAAAGCATGTGACAGTTAATAGAGAAGGAAGGATTTGAGTGAACAATGAACATTTATAAAGCTCTATTAAATGTTGTGAAAAAATTGTATATAACCAGCAGGAAACCTTTTGCAATGAATAGCACAATGATTGATGAATGATATTAATAGAGGTCGAGGGTTGCATGATGTCACCCAGTGTAATGTTGTTGACAACACTAACACTGTAACCTTGAAAATCCAGACCTAGATATAATGGAAACCTTTAATTCCAGAAAGATTTCTCATTCAGTACAATATCTGAACTTTCAGAATGGGGCATCTCTGTAAAGTGCATGCCGAAAATCCAAACGAACTCGACAGTGTTAATATTAACCAAACAAATTTCTTAAAATGTTTACTATTTTTTTGCATTAAGTAGATTATGAGATATATACAGATTCATTTAGAGAAATAGTTGACTATAACTTTTAGGGGGTTGGTGGTCCAGTGCTCCCAGCACAGGACATGTGATCTTGTCCCAAATTCATGTTTTGATATTTCAAATACTCCCACCTGGTTAAACCAGGTAGGTTAAAAATTGTAAGTGGAGTTCCTTAAGGCTCTGTCCTGGGACCTCTGTTATTCATAATACATTAATGATTTAATATCCCCTTTGTTATGTCCTTTCATCCACTTGTACACTTTTATCGTGTTACCCAGAGTTACTGTACTTGAATCGACAATTGCAAATACCATTCGTCTTCATCTTAAAAAACATAGAATAGTAAATTATTCACAACATTATTCGGGGCCTCGTAGCCTGGTGGATAGCGCGCAGGATTCGTAATTCTGTGGCGCGGGTTCGATTCCCGCACGAGGCAGAAACAAATGGGCAAAGTTTTTCACCCTGAATGCCCCTGTTACCTAGCAGTAAATAGGTACCTGGGAGTTAGTCAGCTGTCACGGGCTGCTTCCTGGGGTGTGTGTGTGTGGTGTGGGGAAAAAAAAAAAAAAAAAAAAAAAAAAAAAAAAAAAAAAAAAAAAAAAAAAAAAAAAAAAAAGTAGTTAGTAAACAGTTGATTGACAGTTGAGAGGCGGGCCGAAAGAGCAAAGCTCAACCCCCGTAAAAACACAACTAGTAAAAACACCAGAAGGTTTTACTAACAGCCATTCATGTTTAACAAATTTACCATTATTTTATTCCAGCATACTATAACGCAGTTGATAATGGAAAAGAAACCATTAAAGTTAAGTACGATATTTTGTACCTTGACTGTCTTCTACCTGGTTAAACCAGGTAGGAGAAAGAACATGTATCTTGAAATGGAAAACAAAAATGGATTAAGGAATATTATCAAGATAAGGAGCCTGGCAGAGTAGTCCCACTGCTTGTCCCTATCACTTTCTGAAATATAAGATGAAAATGTAATAGTATGGAATTTGGTTTCAGATGTTCTGGCTTCTTGGTTGGTCACCCTTCAATCCACGTCTGTGGTAGAAAACAATAATAATAATAATAAAAAAAAAAGTTACATCAGGCTGTTACATGGATAAAGCTGACCTAGAACAAAAATTTTATTTATATTTTGTATAATTAAAAAAAATCTTAAATCCCAGCCTGCCTGGGTTAGGGTGGATTTGGTTTTTATCTATTTAAACAACAGATAAAATTTAAAAATGTAAATTTAAATGGAAATAACTAAGTTGGCCCATATTAAAACAAAAGGGTTTTTAACCATAAAAGCCGGTTGGATGAGTAGGTGGGTAACTACCATGCCACCTCGGAAAAAATCTGCTTACCGATGTATCACATACTGGGTATTTGCACGTTTAAACATGCAGAAACATGTATTTTATCATTGCAATAAGAAAATCACCCAAACATTGCTAACAAAACATAAAAATACAAACTATTTGAAACCCATATCTGTAGTTTATGTTGGACTGTACAGCATGTGTAAGAGGCCAAGAGGGAGCCTAAAAATACAGAATACAAGAGAGATGTCAACTAATGTATTGTACAGACTTAATGTAACTTAGAATACAGCATCCACTCAATTTCACGACCTATGAAGATATAGCCTACCTGTTAAACTCGGATGGCTGCCCACAATACAAGTTTTCCTTTATGAAAATTTATGGCTAACACATTCCTCCCTCCGGAGGAGGCAGGCCTGGTCGACGAACGGGCCGCAGGGACGCTAAGCCCCGGAAGCCCCTCAAGGTAACCAAGGTAACCTCCGTCCTTCCCTCAAAGGCAACCACACAGCCACTCTTGTTCCTGCCACCCAGTCACTCTGGGAAAACACACTGGTACACTCCACAGTCACTCTGGGGAAACACTGGTGCATTCTCACCATCATTCAAGGTAAATACCGGTGCATTCCCACAGTCACTCTGGGTAAATACCGGTGCATTCCCACAGTCACTCTGGGTAAATACCGGTGCATTCCCACAGTCACTCCGGGTAAATACCGGTGCATTCCCAGTCACTCTGGGGAAACACTGGAATGAACTGGTCTAGCAAGGGTAAAGTTGTGCCACACCCAACTCATTCATGGCTGCATGTTAACCAAGTGACAAGCTTGGTAAATTTAATAATAGTTATCATCTGCCTTTACTGGATATTAACATTATATAAGGATGCAAATACTATGTCTGAAAACTAGTCATTAGATCCACCAGGATGCTAAATCCGAGGTCCTTAAACTGGGTGGATACTGTTATAACTTGATGTATGCAAGTTATACAATTCTATTTTCAGAGAACAAGATAGATTTATGTATACTAGTTTCAAATTTTGAGATGTACGAGGTTATCTTGAGATGATTTCAAGCGTCCCCTGTGGGCCGGTCCTCGACCAGGCCTCCTTTTTGTTACACATCCCCAGGAAGCAGCCCATAGCAGCTGTCTAACTCCCAGGTAATTATTTACTACTAGGTGAACAGGGGCATCAAGGTGAAAGAAACTGACTATTTGTTTCCGCCTCCACCGGGGATCGAACCCGGAACCTCAGGACTACGAATCCGAAGCGCTGTCCACTCAGCTGGTAGGCGCCTGACAGCCACTTAAGTGGGTACTAATAAACTTGGGTGGTGGACATGGAAGCAGTTCTTCCTTGAGCATTTGTTAGCAAGTTCTATAAAACTCAATACAATACCTGGCAAATACTGGAAGGTCTGATTTGCAAATGTGTAAACTGAATTCATTTCTAATAAACTTAAAAGGCACAATGTAATGTATACAAGAGCTCCCATGAAAAATGAAAATACAGTAAGGAATTTAGGACGCAACTCTATAAGCCAAAGCTTTTCATTATAACCCAATAATGGGGGAAGTTACAAACACACCTCTTAGTTTCATGAAAAATTATTTCAAGGGGCTCTTAACCCTTGAAATACACATACCATCTTAAGATGTTTGACTCATGATGCATATCCCATGACGTTTTAGGTACTATCCAACATTTGAAACTCCCGCTGGTACAGTGTTTCTATAGGAAACACAGTTTCCTATAGGTCTATAGGAAACATCAGCCATTTCAAAAAGTGACTTAGGGTTTTGGGATTATTTTTCCTATGTTCATGGCATGGTTTTTAACCATTTAGTCGTCAGAATGCTTGTTTAGAATACTGTACCTATTTTTTTTGGCGCTCGTGCAGATAATGCTTGACGTAACCCTGGTGCAATGCAAGGTTTATATATATCCCTCATTAACCAAGCTGCAATGTTTATGCCAGTTGATGTTTCTAATAAAATCTTCCATCTATTCAAGATTCTCTTGCATAATCTAATGGAGTGATTCTAAAATTATTTCATGTGACAGACCAGCAATTTTTTTCTAGTGTATGAGGGACTGGTACCTTATTTGTGCCAGATAAATCTTGTATTTTCACTGGCATGCAGCGCATCAGATTAGAACTAACATTCCACTACATGAATTGAAATGTGAGTGAGCATTCACGTATAATTTACTTGTGCAGATGTTCCCACTTAAATACTGTGCATTCAAGACTGACTGAAAGGTTGTCCCTCTTTACCGATAGTACAAAATGTAAATACAGTAGTCATTTACATTCCAAGACAATATTACTTTACCCTATGTAATATTAATTTTACCAAAATACATGGCTTGCAGTTATACTTTCTAAGCTATATGCTCCACATAATTTATATGATTATTACTATAAATTACTATATTTGTCTCCACAAGTCTAATTCAAATGTGATACTACTCAATATATTTTTGCCAATACATTATGTTTCATTACGCTAATGTAAGCAATATCACACAACTTCTCTACTCTTTTTTTTTTTTTTTTAGGGTTGTACACCTATTCAGTGTAGCAACAACTAACAAGTACCGGTTCCCAAAATACTGATTGGAAATCAGAGAATGTTGATTGACCTTCAGGATAAATATAACTGACAACAAAGTTTGCCAAATTTATATTAGCCAATACTAACACATTTACATACAGGAGGGGTGCAGCCCACTTTCTTGTTCAAGAAAACCACCTGTTTAGCCACACGTTCAGTGACATGTAAATTATGTATTTGTATTTTAGTCTTTTTGAGAGCTTTTAAAGGATTGAACATTTATTTTGGCATGAAAATGTTATCACATATAGACACCAATTAGATAAAACGATATGAGACAGAAAGATCAATATGTGTCTGAAAAGAAGAGTATTGCTAGCAGTAGAGCACTTTACCTTGTGTTGTTTGTGGGGAATTAACGTATCTACGGCCCAGTCTCAAATCACCACACCTGGTTGGTGGTCGGGTCAACCAGGCTGTTAAATGCCACTGCTCGCAGTCTGACATACAAATCACAGCCCAGTTGATCAGGTATCCTTTGGAGGTGCTTATCAAGTTCCCTCTTGAACACCTGAGTGGGTCAACTAGTTCGCCCAGTTAAGTTTAGAGTACGTTCAAGTCTTGGACCCCTTATGTTGATGAAAATGAAAAAAAAAACTGATTTTTCTCAGGAATGTATAATGTTTTGCATTTGTGTTAGATATCCCATTACTGTTCTATTAACACTTTCGCGCTCTCGGCGCTCAAAAAAAAAAAATACCCCAGATGCTTTCGGCACTTCGCGCGCCTACGCGGTAAGACCGAAAAAGTGTACACTCTTTTGACTGTCCTGACAATAATTGAAGGCGCACGTATTTAAATTTGGTATCACTGTGTTCGCAATGAAATTGTCTATAAGAGCATACCTATAAAATGCCGCCCAAGCATAAGGAGTATTAACACCAAATAAAAAACTATGCAGATCACTCGCCGAGAGCGCCAAACAGCAACAAAATGTTTCCACTCTCTTAATGGTTGCGAAGCCTACAGTTGTCCTACATCGCTAATTTTGGTATCATTGGAATCGCAATAAAATTCTCTACACGGACATATGCAAATGAATGTTTAATATAGGTAATTGCCCACCCGCAAGAGTGTGTGAAATGGAGAGTAGTTAGCCGCGAGCGCACTGGCGAAAACACAGGGGGGAAATCATGCTTGGAAAGTTTATACGTTTCCTGACCCTACTTTTCTATGTCCGTATTTCTTTTTTGTACCAATGTGTTCGCAATAAAATTTTCTATAAGATGAACTGTATAACATTTGTACAAAGCATGTGTAAGAGAAGCGCCAAATGTAGAACCACGTCGCTCAGTATGCGTTCGCGGCAGAAACGAACGCATTGTTTTCGTTCGTTTGATGTTTGTCATGTTTATACTTGTTGAAACATTTTATAATTTGTATGACAGTGATCGCAGTAAAATTCCCTACACAGACATATACATAACACATACAAATATTTCCCACGTGTTGGATATATCAACAGCTAAAGGGAACCCACTGCCACACCCCCAAACATACTTTGTGTATTTTTTTTTTTTACTCATAGAAGTTTATGTGATATAATATTCATTCTGGTACCAAAAAATTCACAAATAAATTCTCTACAAAACAAAAGTATCCCCATCCATTTCGGTTAAAAAATGGAATTTATAGAAATATTTTTTCAATTGACGAGAAAACTAGGCAGTTATGCGGAATCGTAAGAAAAACCAGTGACGAGTTATCTCTAATCGAAAGCGTGAAAGTGTTAATAGTCTGTCTGTATTGTCTTTGAGAATGGCATTAATGTTCAGTATAAAAATACCTTGCAATCGATATACTGTATAATGTTTTATAGTCATAATATTATTGAAATTGGGTGCATTCCATAATTTACCTGTTTGCCAGTATATACTGATCATAAGCAGCTTAATAATTCCCATCAACATTGTAAGTTCCAAATATCTGGCAAGATTTTTCACATTCACATGAGCCCACTCATTCTTCTTGTTGGTACATGCATTGGACATGTTTTGTGTTGCATACAAGTTTGTTTCATATGCTAAATAGTTCAGTAACTCTCACGTAATAAATAACTGTAAAAATTCCAGAGGAGTGGTTGTTGGTATGGGGACAGTCAAGTCTGGTGTTCCAATAAAACTGAACAAATGGTACAGTGTTGTCAGTATACCAGGCTTCAGCAGAACTGCCGAGTGAGGTACATGGGGCCCGTTGGGTTCTACTTCTAAATGAAGGGCCTGCAACATCATTGTCATCATTCGCCTCACTTTCAAACTCATCCTCAGGTGCTGTTTCTGTTTCAACCACCTCACTATCTACATCACTATTACTTTCTGCACTATCAAGATCACTGCCTGAAAATTTGTCAACTACAGCCAGAAATTTTGTTGGTGCGGGCATAACTTTTCTATACTTTCAACGAACACTCGATAACTTTTCTCTCGTACAGATTTCATTCACTGCTTTCATCTTGGATTGACTCTGTTCTTGATCCATATCCATCTTGAAGTCAATTTGCAGTGTTTATAATGCTGGTAACAACAAACAGCCGAGATAAAACAACCAGAAAGGGGAAGCTGCGGCGGCCACGAGTAGGGTCACGAAACAACGGGCCTCCAGTGTGGGTGGCTGCCCATGCCGCAGGGTATGGGATGCCATGTGGTATATACAGAGAATGGGAAGATGTAGGCACACATTTTAAAACAAGTCCCATAGTATTTAGACAATAAATAGAATTTTTACATATTTTTAAATTATTGATGCCGTTTGCGTCATCTCGCAAAACTACGTACTTTGGTTTTACAACGGAATGTGCCTTATCAGGCAACGAAAGTGTTAATATGTATTAAAAACGGGTAGGAAATAAAGTATTAAACTAATCATTACACTTACGATAGCAAATACAAACCTATCTGTATTTGTGGATAAGGAGGATTAGTTTTTGGGCACTTTCATGGGTCAATTTCTTACAACTTTATCATAATTTAGTCAGAAGTTGTGGACAAAACTTCACCCCAGACTGCTTTTTGAAGTCACTACTGACCCACTGAAGGAGTGTGCCCCATTGTCCATGGGTCTCACTTGTTTGCAGGTCTCACACCTTGTCCTTCATATTATTTCTCCACAGCTGGGATAACTTATCTTTGTCCATATTGGCTATGCCTCTCAGTATCACACACGTCACACTCGTACGTTGTGATTATGTCATCTCATGTGGTTCTTCTCCACTTCAGTTTGGAAGCTCAAATTACCAGTCCTCAAAGCTTAGGTCTTGTACCTTATCAATGTGTTTTTCACAAGGAGTGGGATTCATGCCTGTATTGCATACTTCTGCACTGGTCTAACATACTATGTACAGTGTTCTGGCATACTCTAACATTTCAAAAGGCTCCTCTGATGTCTGCTAATTTTGCAAATGACATTAAAGTTACCATGTTAATGAGCGTTTCGGATCTGAGGCTCGTCGTTAAATCCACCCTCGAGTCATTTTCCATTTCTGAGGCCTGTGGATGTCGTCTTCTCAGTCTGCATTGTGTTACGTCTGTTCATTTATATTCATGGCATGATACCCAGAGGACTTGGTGACCACTGTATGATGCCCTGTAAATATCATAAAAATGTATAGCGGTTAAGGTGCTGGCATGTTTTTTTACTTTTTTGCTTGGTAAAAGTTTATATGAAGTTATTAAGTTTTGATGGTTTACACACACTACAGACTCATTTACAGTAATTTATTCCATCTACCAATTCTGTTGGCAACATAGAATTCACACAAATTTCTCGGTACCTTCATTTCCTTATTTTGAATCTACAACCTCTTGTTCTCAATAAATATGAATTTAAATAATTCCTGAAGCCACTTTGGATATGGTAATTTTTATCACCGTTTTTCTTGATTAATTTTAAAATGTTTTGTGCTTCCAGCCTCTTGCAGAGCTCAAGTACTTTAGATACCGGAGATATATGGTACAGTAGTACGCCTGTGTTCCTTCTCTAATTTATTTGTGTGCTTTTTAAGATGTGGTCACCATACATCTACTGTATATTTTAATTTTGGCTCTTATTTGTCAATATTGTATAGGCATTTTTTGCATACACGTATTTAACCATTTTGTACTATCCAGTACTCCAGTACTCTGTTTTGACCCACACTTTCCAGAGCTAAGATGAGGGGGAAATGTCACTTAACTTGTGACTTTCCAATATGAAATATGGTTCAAGTAACTCAGTACCAAGTCACAAGTATTCTCAAGATATAGAAATATGATATTCAAAATCATATATTTTACTCTTAATTTTTATTACATTTCTAATAATAAAAATTTGTGTTTTCTATATACAGTATACCATGACAAATAAAAATGTTTAGTGTTTACTCTATAAAATTAAAGTGTCTAGCACAACCCTTATATGGCTTTTAATGCGATGTTTGAGGGTTCACACACACATTGTCGACAGCACACATTACACGACATTTTCATAAAGAAATGCAAAGGCATATTGTTTTCTTTGTAAATTCCCATAATTGCCAAGATTTGACATCTCCCTGGCTTTTATTACCTAAATAATTACACACATTATACATAAAGGTCATTTATTTGAAAAACTCTATGAGCACATGACCCCCCAAAAATATTCATTCAAAATATCAAGAATGAAACCATTTTTATTTTCTTCATTAACCAATATTTGATTTGTCTGAATAAAAAAATAATAATTAATGCCTAACTTGTTCTAAATTTCTGGAACTGCTTGATGCCTGCTTGCAACATTAGAATTAATTAGAAAATCAACGTACTCAAGGAAGTATATTGTGATGACCCAGACCTAAGACAATTGCACACTCTAAGGCAGAGATTAAATAAAAAAAATAAGAATAACTCGTGGCGCATTAAACAAAATAAAAAGTCACCATTGCACATCAGTTTTTATTTTTTAATATTTCTGGTTACCATATCATTAGGATAGCTTGGGTAAGGTTAGGGTTGGGTAAGGTTAGGGTTGGGTTAGGTTAGGGTTGGGTTAGGCTTGGGTTAGGTTAGGGTTGGGTTAGGCTTGGGTTAGGGTTGGGTTGGGTTAGGGTTGGGTTAGGTTGGGTAAGGTTAGGGTTGGGTTGGGTAAGGATAGGGTAGGATAAGGTAAGGTAGAGTTGGGTAAGGTTAGGGTTGGATAAGGTAAGGTAGAGTTACGTAAGGTTAGGGTCATTTTTTTCAACCTTCCTGCAAACTCCCACGGCACACCTGTGTACCCCTTGTGACATACAAAATAAAAAAAAAAAATAATTAATAAATCCCCCCCCCCCCCAAGAAAAAACTTTTGTTTAACTTGGATCTGTTCACAATAAAGAAGGATCTCAAAGTTGCTAACTCTACCATGGTTGCTATAATGCCGCTCTTGTACTTTTCACGTCTGGGTTCGGATCTTCTAGATGCTTTAGGCAAGTTGTGAAAATCGGAAGCCAATATAAACCTATTCAATTACAAGAACTTGTAACATTTCTATTGTGTTCTAAATACTAAAAAAAAAAAAAAATTTACTGGTACCCAATGATCTAACTGGAAATGCAGCAGCATAAAAATGACTGAAATCATAATGGAAAAAAACATCCTGAGACTTGTGAAGCTGGTAAATTACATAGTATTAAGCAGACTTGTGCAGTTTAGCGGAGAGTAGCAACCTCACCTGGTGGAGCTGATGATGCATGAGCGGAGAGTGGTGCTGTGCTGCAGGCATAGTTGGGATGAACATGGGTGTGTAAGCGTTGGCAGTCATGGGATTTGTTCCAGATCCAGCTAAGTTAAATGGTGGAGGCGTGCCCGTATGAAAACCTTGTTTGTCATACGACTGTAAAAAAATATATATATATATTTTGTATGTATATATTTTATAAACATGTAAGGATATATTATAAACAAGCCCTAAACTGTAAACCTATCTGATAGTCGACATCATGGTGCACATGACTAAAAAAAATTGTTAAACTCTAATGAGAAAATACTGTATTATAGTACATAAACTTTAAAAAGCATGCTACAAGACAATGTACAAAGCATAAACAATAACATTTAACAGTGTAATACTATAATACTTTTTCCTTATGTTATACTGTACTTTTAGGGATTGTGCAAAGAGGCATGCCCAAAATCTTTAAAACTTATAACTATGGGCATCTAGTAGTATGACCAAATCCCAATTGCCTTGTTATAAAATCCCAGTCAAAACCGATTCACAAATATCTACCCAAATGCGGGAGATGATAGAGCTGCTGTTACTCAGCCGTCAGTGCCTCAAAA